GACCCTGGACAACACCCTTTCGTTCTCCGCTAACATCAAGGCGGTGACCCGATCCTGTAGGTTCATGCTCTACAACATTCGCAGAGTACGACCCTGCCTTACACAGGAAGCGGCACAGGTCCTAATCCAGGCACTTGTCATCTCCCGTCTGGATTACTGCAACTCGCTGTTGGCTGGGCTCCCTGCCTGTGCCATTAAACCCCTACAACTCATCCAGAACGCCGCAGCCCGTCTGGTGTTCAACCTTCCCAAGTTCTCTCACGTCACCCCGCTCCTCCGCACACTCCACTGGCTTCCAGTTGAAGCTTGCATCTGCTACAAGACCATGGTGCTTGCCTACGGAGCTGTGAGGGGAACGGCACCTCCGTACCTTCAGGCTCTGATCAGTCCCTACACCCAAACGAGGGCATTGCGTTCATCCACCTCTGGCCTGCTGGCCCCACTACCTCTGCGGAAGCACAGTTCCCGCTCAGCCCAGTCAAAACTTTTCGCTGCTCTGGCACCCCAATGGTGGAACAAGCTCCCTCACGACGCCAGGACAGCGGAGTCACTCACCACCTTCCGGAGACACTTGAAACCCCACCTCTTTAAGGAATACCTGGGATAGGATAAAGTAATCCTTCTACACCCCCTTACCCCACCCCAAAGAAAATAAGAAATAATAATCATTTAAAAAAGAAAAAAAAAGAAAAATATCATAAGGTGAATGTACCAATTTGTAAGTCGCTCTGGATAAGAGCGTCTGCTAAATGACGAAAATGTAAATGTAAATGTAATTAGTGGCCTTCTTCTTCTGTGGTTTTTAAATGGCTATTGGCAACCTACTGGTGCATTACCGCCACCAACTAAACAGTCATGAAATTCAGTGGCAGTCGGTGCCGTTTAAGATTAGGTAGGACGATTATTTTTTTAATGAGCATAGCTGTCACGATCGTTGAACGGAATGGACCAAGGCGCAGCGTGATGAGCGAACATACTTTATTATCAAAAGTGATAACACGAACAAAACAATAAACGATAACGTGACGTCCTAGGTTAAACACAACCAACAAGGAACAAACCAGAAGGAACAAGATCCCACAACAACTGTGGGAAAACAGCCTGTTTAAATGTGGTTCCCAATCAGAGACAACCAGCAACAGCTGACACTCGTTGCCTCTGATTGAGAACCACACTGGCCAACATAGAAATGAAACAACTAGAACTACAACACAGAACACAAAACACATAGAATCTACACACCCTGGCTCAACATATAGAGTCCCCAGAGCCAGGGTGTGACAGTACCCCCCCCTCAACATAAACCAAACAGGGGAGGGCTGGGTGGGCATTCCTCCTCGGAGGCGGTTCCGGCTCCGGGCTTGCCCACCACCCTCCAATAATCCCCCCGTAGCGCCCCTGGTCCGGTCTGGCCCCGCTGGCTGGAGCTGGACTGGACATCGTAGGAGCGGATTGCTTAAGCTCCGGTGTGGAGCAGCTGACCGGTACCTGACCAGGCACCGGTGACCCAGGCACGGGTTGTGCCGGACTGACGACGCACACCCCTGGCTTGGTGCGTGAAGCAGGAACGGGCCGGACCGGGCTGACGATGCGCACCCCTGGCTTGGTGCGTGGAGCAGCAACGGGCCGGACCGGGCTGACGACTCGCACCCCTGGCTTGGTGCGTGGAGCAGGAACGGGCCTTACCGGGCTGACGACTCGCACCCCTGGCTTGGTGCGAGTGGCAGGAACAGGCCGGGCTGGCGACGCGCACCGTAGGCTTGGTGCGAGGGGCAGGAACAGGCCGGGCCGGGCTGGCGACGCACACCTTAGGCTTAGTGCGAGTGGCAGGAACAGACCGGGCCGGGCTGGCGACGCGCACCGTTAGCTTGGTGCGGGGAGCAGGAAAAGGCCGGGCCGGGCTGGCGACGCGCACCGTAGGCTTGGTGCGAAGGGCAGGAACAGGCCGGGCCGGGCTGGCGACGCGCACCGTAGGCTTGGTGCGAGAGCAGGAACAGGCCGGGCCGGGCTGGCGACGCGCACCGTTAGCTTGGTGCGGGGAGCAGGAACAGGCCGGGCCGGGCTGGCGACGCGCACCGTAAGCTTGGTGCGAAGGGCAGGAACAGGCCGGGCCGGGCTGGCGACGCGCACCGTAGGCTTGGTGCGAGGGGCAGGAACAGGCCGGGCTGGGCTGGCGACGCGCACCGTAGGCTTGGTGCGAGGAGCAGGAACAGGCCGGGCCGGGCTGTGGAGACGGATAGGAGGCCTGGAGTGAAGAGCTGCCACAACCCGTCCTGGCTGAATGCCTACCTTCACACACTCTGTGTGAGGCATCAGCACAGGACGTACAGGGCTGTGTACCCGTACTGGCATAACAGCACGTGACACTGGCGCAGGATATCCACACTCCGTCCTGGCTGCATGCCCACCTTCGCACGACACGTGCGGGGTGCTCGCACAGGACGTACCGGACTATGCCGGACCACTCGTGGCACAGTACGCAGCTCCGCATACCCCGGAACCTGCCCAGTCTCATGCTGCCATGCCTGAGTACGGGGAGTTGGCTCTGCTCTCCATCCAGGCTCCGCCAACCTGCCTTCTAGCCCCCCAAACCCGGTGGCCTCCTCTCCTAATCTCCCAATACGCCCTGTGGCAGCCTCCTGCTGCCCCGTCGCCCATGCCGTGTGCCCCCCCCTATTATTGGGGGTGCCTCTCGCCTGTCCGACCACGGCCCGGTTGACGCCGCTTCTCCTCTCCTGCCTGGGTCTCCCCCTTCATAGCCTTCCGGTACCGGACGGCCTCCTCCTCCGTAATCTGCCCCCAACCGAGGAGGACATCCTCTAGAGTTACCTCCTGCGTGTGTTCCTGGACACGCTGCTTGGTCCTGGTGTGGTGGGATCTTCTGTCACGATCGTTGAACGGAATGGACCAAGGCGCAGCGTGATGAGCGAACATACTTTATTATCAAAAGTGATAACACGAACAAAACAATAAACGATAACGTGACGTCCTAGGTTAAACACAACCAACAAGGAACAAACCAAAAGGAACAAGATCCCACAACAACTGTGGGAAAACAGCCTGTTTAAATGTGGTTCCCAATCAGAGACAACCAGCAACAGCTGACACTCGTTGCCTCTGATTGAGAACCACACTGGCCAACATAGAAATGAAACAACTAGAACTACAACACAAAACACAAAACACATAGAATCTACACACCCTGGCTCAACATATAGAGTCCCCAGAGCCAGGGTGTGACAATAGCCTTATTTCTATTACAGCATATTGGATGACTGTCATTCATATTCCATTCAATGTAACATTGATAGGTTTAGGCAATTACATGATACTCAAATTTTCCCTATATCCATCATGAGGTTGCTACAACCTAGCCTATGAATGAAAGTTAATAACAGGTCGAGAGACAAATTGGAGTAATCAAGGTAACATACAGTGACACATTCTATATCTGCACACTCTTGCCTGCATCTAGCGTGTAATCATTAGTCCAAACATTTACATTTACATTTTACATTTTAGCAGACGCTCTTATCCAGAGCGACTTACAGGAGCAATTAGGGTTAAGTGCCTTGCTCAAGGGCACAGACAGATTATTCACCTAGTCGGCTCGGGGATTAGAACCAGCGACCTTTCGGTTACTGGCACTACGCTCTTAACCACTAAGCTACCTGTCACCATAAAGCCCTGAGCTCAAACAGCTTCTATTGGACAAATTCAGGTAGGTTTATCCCCATTTCGTTCCGTTTGCTTCCGTTTAAGAAACGTTGGTAACACTTTACTTGACACCCAGCAAATGGTCATAACCATTTTTTGTAGAAAATATACTTTATGACACTGTCAAGAAACATTATGACCATCATAACCATATAAGCCAGATAGGCCTTTCACGTACATGCCCTTTTGTCAGTCATCAGTCAAAAAGAGGGTGTCTTGTCCTGCTCCTGAAATCTGCTCCTGCATTCATCCCAGTAATCAGCAACAGAGCATTGGGGTAGGTGCATGTATGACATCAATGTGTATGCAATTACAATGATAATTGAATATGTTACATTTCAGAAAATGCTATATAACAAACATACTGATCATTTAATATGTAAAATGTAAGAAAATGTTAAATAGCATAAACATACCGTTGACAAGTAGGCTATGGTGTAATGTAATGTTTTGCCTTGTGAGGTAAGTTGCGTGTTATGACATTATGTCAGCTGTTATGACATATTATGACATGGTTATGACCATGTCATAACGTGTTATGACGCTGGATGTCAAGTAAAGTGTTACCGAAACTTTTTTCAACAGAATCGACGATATGAGTACACCCCTGATGACCCGCACAATTCACTTTCATAGCAGCCACATACAAACAGCATCATCTCTTTGATAGTTGTATAATTCCTTCTCATCTACGTGCTCTCCTCCTCTCACCTTTTCCCTTCACTTAGGGACTTCAGTGGGGAGTAGTGAGTGAGTGCCCACTTCCAGAGGAAGGAGAGATTATTGGGATGGAACCCCTATGATCTCTCTCTCTGAGCTGACTGACCAACACTCAGATGGTGTTATACTCACCCCTACTGGACACTGGGGCAATATTCAGGTTGAGTTTGTAACATATCAACATATACTCGCTTTGAAAAAAGACACCTTTCTGACACAAAACAGGTGAAGTAAAAATCATTCATTAGAGCAGATAAAGAAAATAATTTGCTATCTCCTCATTAGATTACAAAAATAATATATGGATTGGTGGGAGTACAGAAATGCATCTATATGTTTATGTATTTACATGATACACAAGTAGTGGTGCGCATACAGCCTCTTTAAAAAAAACAAGAGACAAGCCACCAGGGGGGAGAATCATACATGCAAAAGCCCTGAGCTCTATCCTTGCCCTGGCAGCTCTATCCTTGCCCTGGCATGGCCACACAGATCAAAAAGCTCCATGTGTGTATTGGGTTTAGCCAGCCAAACACCTGTCCAGGTGAGAGTATCAGACAGTCTCAGATGTAGATCTCATGTCCCAACTCGGGGGCATACACCTGGTCCTGCTTGGGGAAGTCTAAGGCAGGGACACCTTTGACCTTCATCTTCCAGACCCTCTTCCTCTGTCTGTCCTGGTCCTCCTTGGTCCTATAGCATCCCTCCCCCAGCTGGTTCATCTGGTGGTTCTGGACCCTGAAGTACTCCTCCAGCTGGGTGTCTGTGTGGAGCCTGAAGGCCCCACGCTCCCTGAGTGAATTAATGAATAAATGAACAAATTAATTAATTAATTAATGGATGGATAGATTCATGAACAAATCAAGGAATACTTTAAAATGTCTCATAGGAAAATTATCTTGGTAACATAAAGGCATACCATCATAGAGATCCTATAATTTATTTGTTCTATGTGTAATTCTATGCATATCATACCTGAATGGGTCTAGAGGGTTGTACTGGCTAATGGTCTTATTGGGCATCTCAAAGTCCACGTGGCGTCCCGGCCGCTTGCTCCTCACCTTCATGAACATGCGCTGCGGGGCCTGGACATTCGACTGGGCGGTGGTAGTGAATGCCCCCACCTTACGCACCGCCAGACCCCCTATACCACAGGAGGTCTGGGGCCTCTTGTTCTCTGGCTCGGGGCATGGCTGACGCTGGGTGGAAGCTGCGTGGCTGGTGTGAGGCCGCACCATGGCTGGGGAAGGAATGGTGGAACAGACCTCACGACAGTTGAGGGAGTGCCTCGGGTTGAGGTCCAGAGCGTGGGTCATGAGGGGAACGTAGGTCTTGGTCATGCCATGTTGGAAGACCTGGTGGCTGGGTCCTGCTGGGGCCTTCTGTGACTGACTCTGGGGGCTCTGTTTTGGGGCTGCAGGTGGGAATGGTGAGGCATGGGGCTCTGGATCTATCCCCTGGACAGGTGGAGGTAGAGGTGGAGGGGAGCCCCAGGCGTCTCGTACACGGGCGTTGAGTTTCATGTTGGCCTCGGCCTGGTCGCTTCCCTGGGGCCGGTGGGTGGAGTTGACCTTGAGGAGGACATGCTCAGGGGTGACGGGCCGATGGGGGCCCCTCTTCTTCACTCGGTCTTTCACTGCCTTCTCGCTGCGCCTCAGCACCCACTTAGACGTCACAGACGGCTCCCTCGCTGTGAGAGGCCGCATATACGGTTGATTACAAGGAACAATAGTAAACATGCACTTTGTTATACAGCCATAAGGACTATAGTCTGTCTCGTTTCTGTCTCTCTCAATTACTATTCTATTCTATTACGTTCAACTGTATTCTATTCTATCCTATTCTATCTCACCTGAGCCAGTGGTTTGACTCCTGGGCGTGTGACTGGCCCTGCTGTGGGAGTCTTGGCTGTGTCCGCTGACGGGTCTTCCAGGAGAGATGACCGAGGGGGGCTTGGTGATGAACTCTGGCTGCAGGTCGATGTAGGCCCGGCTCCTACGGTGGCCCTGAAGCGCACTCCACGTGGCCGGCCTCATAGACTCCTGCTGAGCAGCTGTGGAGAGCAGAGAGACCACAGAAATAGAATTAGTAGAACGAGGAAAAAGGCTCTCAGACCATAGCAATTCTATTTCTATGTCAGAGACCATGATAAAGGATAGTCACTGCAGGATGATATTAGCCTAGCCTGGTGGTCCAGTCTGTTTGTGCTTAATCCCATGCTCTATGTTCTGTAGACCACTATTATATGGTTGCTATGCCATACGTACATGAATGAATACAGAGGGGTCTGCAAACGGAATAACACACTGTTTCAGAGCAATATTCAGGGTTTAGTCTGGCCATAGGTGAGAGTGAAGAGAGACACAGGAGATAAATCATGAGGGTAGAGGAAGGTGTCTGGAAAGACAAGGGGTTAATAAAAGCGAGCGATAATGGAGCGATATTCAGGTTGGATTTAAGGCTAATCGGCCACCAGACCCAAAGAAACACTCACCCTGTGCTCGGCGCATGTTGGGAGCTGACAGAGAGCGTGCGTGGTGGGACAGCCCGGGCCTCTCTGGCTTCTTGCTCTCATGGTCGTAGATCTTACGATTGGACGAGCCTATCTGTGTCATGCGCTCAGCCCGCACGTAGGAGTAGGGGTACTTGTTTTTATTGAGCATGCTTTTAAGAGTACCCCTGAACTCGTTAAAGAACTCCCTCTCTGCCAGCACGGAGTAGTCCCAGCGCACCCTGGTGAACTGGTAGACCAGAACACTGGTCCCCGTGTTCACCACCATACTGGGAGAGAGAGACAGAGGGAGGAAAAGAAAGAGAGGAAGAATAACATAAAGTTATGACTATAACTACTGTTCCCTGAAGGAGGGAAATGAGACGTACAACATACTATGGGGAGTCGCACTCTTGCGACTTCGGTTGAAGGATCTCAAATCACGCCTGACAAGGCCATTGAAATCCGCGCCTCGCTGGAAACCCCACCTTCCACAGGTGATAAGCGTGAGACTCGGATTCATTCCTTCAATTTAATACCACTCTTCACCGAGCCCAGGAACAGGTGGTGTGGTTCCAAACAGATGTTGTACCTTGTTTCCCTCCTTCAGGGAACAGTAGTTATAGTCATAATGTTCCCTTTCAGTCAGTCAACTTCGGTACAACATACTATGGGGAAATAGAATCACGCCCCATGCCGACTCCAACAGATACTAAAAGAAACGGCCCATGGCAGTCCACTCAGACCTGCCCCCACAAGATGTGGCAGTCTGGGTATTGCGCACATGGCGCACTGCCTAGTAACTTTCCCCTGTCCCAGCTGTAAGCACACTGGGAGCAGTGACATCCAAGCGATAAAACCTCACAAAAGTGTGTGGTGATGCCCAACTTGCCGCAGCACAAATATCTACTACATTCAACCCTTTAAATAATGGCCAAAACGCTGGCAGGCCCCTGGTGGAGTGGGCGCGTACACCGCTAGGTAACCCTTGCTGCTATATGCAAGGGAGATAGCCTCCACAATCCAGCTGCTTAAAGAGTGCCCTGCCGTTAGCTGGATTAGCAAAACAGACAAAAAGCTGGTCATATAACCGGATATCCCTGGTCCGTTCAATGTACGTGCATAACGCTAGCACTGGACACAGGGCATGTAACCTCTGTTGCTCTTCAGAAGCAAAAGGAAAATAGCTCAAAAGCTAAGGAACCTGTAGGACATAACCATGACGTCAGGGCGAAGGCCGCATTTGGACGCAACGTCACCTTAGAGTCGCCCAGGGCGAACTGAGTACAGAAAGGGTGTACGGATAACACGTGAAGGTCCCCAACACGTTTAGCTGAGGCCAAAACCACGGGCAAGGTTTTACAGGAGAGGATATTTAGATCCACAGACTCCAGTGGTTCAAAAGGAGGCCTCACATAGAGCATCCAAATCCAAATCGGCGCAATAGGTTTAGAAACTGGCCTGAGACGGCGCACACCCTTTAGGAACCGCAACGCCTGGACACAAGCCCTGCTGTGGCGCCCTTCAATTCCCACATGACATGCTCAAATAGACACCATGTACACTTTCAAAGTGGAGAATGAATGATCCTGCTCGAAAAAGCTCCTCCCCAGAGCACTCTGAAAAGGAACAATTCCTTTATTTTGGGACCAAAGCAGAGGTCTGTACAGGACTGATTTCTTCCTCCCACTCCCGCCCGCATCTTTTCATACTGCACCCGCCCACACCCGCTGGCTTTCTGTTCAACTACCACGCACGCATACAGCCCTCCCATGAAAAAAAGGTACCCTTGAGGACGAATAGTAGTAATCATGTTCGGAGGTAAACCTCTAGCCGCGAGATTGGACATCTCAGGGGCCAAGTCCACAGACCCCAAATGTCTGGCCGAGGGTGCTAAACCTGCCCGTGCGCCTGGAATAGCTGATCCCTGCGCAGCGGGAGTTACCACGGGACCCTGCCCAATAGGCGGCCGATCTCCGCGAACCATGGTTACTACGAGTAGTCACAAAATTCAACTACAAGCCCTCCAGGCGCACCCTCCCCAACGCTCGGGTCCCTCATCGAGAAAAACAGACGACAATGCGCGTTTTCTCGCGATTCATAAAGATCTACATCGGCCCTGCCGAAAACCACCCATGGGTGTATTCTCCACTCCTGAGAGAAAGGGTGACACCTGGACAAAAGATCTGCACCCGAATTAGAGGCAACCAAGGACATGCATCGCCCAATGGGAGAGCATGTATGCACTGCTCCCCAGCAACAGGGAGTGAGCAAAAGTTAGGAGGGAGAGAGACAGAGTCTCTCCCGGACTGTTGATGCATGCCACCCACTGACATATTGTCGGTTCTGACCAGCACAAGCTGGCCCGACAAAAGCAAGGAGAAGCGCGTGAGCACCAGATACACTGTTAGGACCTCCAGGTAATTGATATGCAGTGCCACCAATCGCCTACAGGGCCCATAACCTGTATCACTAGACACCTCATAGGGACTAATGAGCTACAGGCAGGAATCAGCAATGTTCCCGGGGCCACCCATATGTAAAATGTATGCACGCATGACGGTAAGTCGCTTTGGATAAAAGCGTCTGCTAAATGGCATATGGTGCATTCGGAAAGTATTCAGACCACTTTACTTTTTCCACATTTTGTTACTTTACAGCCTTATTCTAAAATTGATTTGTTTTTTTACTCATCAATCTACACACAATACACCATAATGACAAAGCAAAAACAGGCTTTAGAATTTTGAGCAAATGTATTTTAAAAAATTAACTGAAATATCACATTTACATAAGTATTCAGACCTGTTTACTCAGTACTTTGCTGAAGCACCTTTAGCAGCGATTACAGCCTTGAGTCTTCTTGGGTATGACGCTACAAGCTTAGCACACCTGTATTTGGGGAGTTTCTCCCATTCTTCTCTGTAGATGCTCTCAAGTTCTGTCAGGTTGGATGGGGAGCGTCGTTGCACAGCTATTTTCAGGTCTCTCAAGAGATTTTTGATCGGGTTCAAGTCCGAGCTCTGGCTGGGCCACTCAAGGACGTTCAGAGACTTGTCCCGAAGCCACTCCTGCGTTGTCTTGGCTGTGTGCTTAGGGTCATTGTCCTGTTGGAAGGAGAACCTTCGCCCCAGTCTGAGATCCTGAATGTTCTGGAGCAGGTTTTCATCAAGGATCTCTCTGTACTTTGCTCCGTTCATCTTTCCCTCAAACCTGACTAGTCTCCCAGTCCCTGCCGCTGAAACACATAGCCACAGCATGATGCTGCCACAACCATGCTTCATCTTAGGGATGGTGCCAGGTTTCCTCCAGACGTGATGTTTGGCATTCAGGCCAAAGAGTTCAATCTTGGTTTCATCAGACCAGAGAATCTTGTTTCTCATGGTCTGAGAGTCCTTTAGGTGCCTTTTGGCAAACTCCAAGCGGGCTGTCATGTGCCTTTTACTGAGGAGTCGCTTCCGTCTGGCAACTCTACCATAAAGGCCTGATTGTTGGAGTGCTGCAGAGATGGTTGTCCTTCTGGAAGGTTCTCCCATCTCCAAGGCCCTTCTCCCTTGATTTCTCATCAACTTCTTCCATTAAGAATGATGGAGGCCACTGTGTTCTTGGGGACCTTCAATGCTGCAGAAATTTTTTGGTACCCTTCCCCAGATCTGTGCCTCGACACAATCCTGTCTCGGAGCTCTATGGACAATTCCTTCGACCTCCTGGCTTGGTTTTTGCTTCGACATGCACTGTCACCTGTGGGACCTTATATAGACAGGTGTGTGCCTTTCCAAATCATGTCCAATCAATTGAATTTACCACAGGTTGACTCCAATCAAGTTGTAGAAACATATAAAGGATGATCAATGGAAACAGGATGCACCTGAGCTCAATTTCTTATCTTTCCCTTTTCTCCCCAATTTCGTGGTATCCAATTGTTAGTGAGAGTCTTGTCCCATCGCTGCAACTCCCGTACGGACACGGGAGAGGCGAAGGTCGAGAGTCGTGCGTCCTCCGAAACACAACCCAACCTAGCCGCACTGCTTCTTGACACAGTGCCCGCTTAACCCGGAAGCCAGCCGCACCAATGTGCTGGAGGAAACACCGTACATGTGCACTGCGCCCAGCCAGCCACAGGAGTCGCTAGTGCGCGATGGGACAAGAACATCCCTGCCGGCCAAACCCTCCCCTACCCTGGACGGCGCTGGGCCAATTGTGCGCCGCCCCATGGATCTACTGGTCGCGGCCGACTGCAACAGAGCCAGGAATCGAATCAGGATCTCAAGTGGCACAGCTAGCACTGCGATGCAGTGCCTTAGACCACTGCGCCACTCGGGAGGCCCCCCTGAGCTCAATTTCGAGTCTCATAGCAAAGGGTCTGAATACTTATGTAAATAAGGTATTTCTGTATTTTATTTTTTATAAATTTGCAAACATTTCTAAAAACCTGTTTTTGCTTTGTCATTATGGGGTATTGTCTGTCGATTGATGAGGAAAACAAATAATTTAATCCACTTTAGAATAAGGCTGTAACGTAACAGAATGTGGAAAAAGGGAAGGGGTCTGAATACTTTCCGAATGCACTGTATATTATTATATAATATATTATGAGCCACCTATAGGGGAGGGTGCCCCTTGTGGACAGAAAGGGAATTGCCCAACTTATTTTTCCCATCCTGGTAAGATTGATATACCCCCTGAACACCATGAACACAATGGAATGCGGGGTACCAGAGGGGCATTAAACATGGACAAGCTTCCAATACATGAGACTGTATAGCCTGCCTGAAGCCCGGCCCCCTTATGGGCACAGAGGGCTCTGGAAATGGCTGACGTAGTACCCCGTTTGCCATAACAAAACATGGAGGCACTGTCGTCACAGTAATGTGTTTGCGGAGTGGCGCACTGGTCGCTCAGACCCGTGCTAAGGCCCCTCGTTCCGGGGTTACCCAAGCCAGCTGTTCGGTGGCTGCTTCCTCATTGGAGGAGCACGCAAGCCCCGCTTTCTACACTCCCTCCAACTTGAAATTGAAATTAGGAATTGAGACATACAAGACAACAAACGTGAGTATCTCTTTATTTATTTGGGCATGGTCGCGAACCCGAACCCGGCTTAGCCTTCGTCTAGGTTGCATTTTTTGCCATCTTACTAATTGGTATAGCCAGGCCAAGCAATCCGAAGAATAACTAACTGTTTGTGATTAGGAAACTATGAGAACCATACAAACTCCAGCATACAACATCCAGGGAGTGAGCATGCTCTACCACAAAGGGACAGTTTAGTCGGCACAACGTAAGACAGTCTTGTGTTACAATTGTTTGTTTTTTAGTCTGTTAAAAATAATAATTAAAAATAAAAATAGTAGTGAGGTGAAGAGCGTAATAATTTAAGGAATGAATCCGAGCCTCACACTAATCACCTGTGGAAGGCGGGGCTTCTCGCAAGGTGCGGATTTCACTGGCCTTGTCAGGTGTGATTTTACATCCTTCAACCGAAGTCGCGAGAGTGCGACTCCCCATAGTATGTTGTACCGAAGTTGACTGACTGAAAGGGAACCAGGAGGGGCAGAGAAGACAGGGAGATGTCTTAAAGACATACGCTTCTGGGTAAAATCATGGTTGTCAAAGTAAAAATGAAATTAATGATTACTCACTTGTTGATTTAAGTTAAATTAATTATCACTAACTTGTTACTGTGTGTGTGCAGGGACAGTACAGTACTAACTTGTTGTTGTGTGTGTGCAGGGACTGGATAGCGCTGTGTTGACCCCCAGCCTTGATGACCCTCAGGCAGTCTCCCGTCAGGAAGTTGAAGATACAGATTTTCCCGTCCCCACACCCGGTGATGACACGCAGGAAGAGGTAGATCAGCGCCAAGACCTCCCTAGAGGACGACAAACACACACACACACACACACACACACACACACACACACAGTATTCAAGGAACCTCAAGATAAACCAGTCAAAAACAGTACCAAAAACAAAAGTTTTTTAAATATTTTATTTACAATGTTTATGCTCACTTTGGATGGCGATAGGTCATCAGGCTCTTCTTTATGTCACAGTTGGTGCTCCAGGCCATGACCTGTCCATCAGAACCACCTGACAGGATGTGCCACTGGTCGAAGAACAGACACTTTACAGAGCTGTGGTGGGCATCGATTACCTGGAAGACAAGACAGGGACTTTGGTGAGGGAGGACAGTGTCACTTTCACTCAAAAAACATTCAAATCGAAACCTACTGAAATGGGAAACCCAGTTCCATGTGCCCTTGTTTGAGTTTACTGTACATCTTTGCTTCTGACCACTAGACCAGACTCCTGAAAATATAGATATGGATGCCTTTTGTGTAAAAGGTCAATGAAGACATTGACATGACAGAGTACAGACCATCTTACCTTGAGGAGTGAGGCGGTCTCCATACCCCACATTTTGACCAGCCCTTTGTCACAGCTGCTCATCACTAGAGCCTTGTCTATCTTCACACACAGAATGGGGTTGTGGTGCTTAAACTTCATCTTCTCATAGCAATGCCCTGTCTGCAGGTTCCACACTGCCGTGGAGGTGAAAGCACACAAAGTTACTAACACACAAAACAAGGTTGCTAAATATTCAAGCAAACTGCCTGACAGCCTGACATGCTGACTACACCGGCCACGAGCGTGCGTCCGTGTGCGCCATCGCACGCATGTTGATTTTGTCCATCCACACCAGACACGATCATGACACGCAGGTTAAAATATCAAAACCAACTGTGAACCAACTACACTGCTCAAAAAAATCAAGGGAACACTAAAATAACACATCCTAGATCTGAATGAATTAAATAATCTTATTAAATACTTTTTTCTTTACATAGTTGAATGTGCTGACAACAAAATCACACAAAAATGATCAATGGAAATCAAATTTATCAACCCATGGAGGTCTGGATTTGGAGTCACCCTCAAAATTAAAGTGGAAAACCACACTACAGGCTGATCCAACTTTGATGTAATGTCCATAAAACAAGTCAAAATGAGGCTCAGTAGTGTGTGTGGCCTTCACGTGCCTGTATGACCTCCCTACAACGCCTGGGCATGCTCCTGATGAGGTGGCGGATGGTCTCCTGAGGGATCTCCTCCCAGACCTGGACTAAAGCATCCGCCAACTCCTGGACAGTCTGTGGTGCAACGTGGCATTGGTGGATGGAGCGAGACATGATGTCCCAGATGTGCTCAATTGGATTCAGGTCTGGGGAACGGGCGGGCCAGTCCATAGCATCAATGCCTTCCTCTTGCAGGAACTGCTGACACACTCCAGCCACATGAGGTCTAGCATTGTCTTGCATTAGGAGGAACCCAGGGCCAACCGCACCAGCATATGGTCTCACAAGGGGTCTGAGGATCTCATCTCGGTACCTAATGGCAGTCAGGCTACCTCTGGCGAGCACATGGAGGGCTGTGCGGCCCCCCAACAAATGCCACCCCACACCATGACTGACCCACCGCCAAACCGGTCATGCTGGAGGATGTTGCAGGCAGCAGAACGTTCTCCACGGCGTCTCCAGACTCTGTCACGTCTGTCACATGTGCTCAGTGTGAAACTGCTTTCATCTGTGAAGAGCACAGGGCGCCAGTGGCGAATTTGCCAATCTTGGTGTTCTCTGGCAAATGCCAAACGTCCTGCACGGTGTTGGGCTGTAAGCACAACCCCCACCTGTGGACGTCGGGCCCTCATACCACCCTCATGGAGTCTGTTTCTGACCGTTTGAGCAGACACATGCACATTTGTGGCCTGCTGGAGGTCATTTTGCAGGGCTCTGGCAGTGCTCCTCCTGCTCCTCCTTGCACAAAGGCGGAGGTAGCAGTCCTGCTGCTGGGTTGTTGCCCTCCTACGGCCTCCTCCACGTCTCCTGATGTACTGGCCTGTCTCCTGGTAGCGCCTCCATGCTCTGGACACTACGCTGACAGACACAGCAAACCTTCTTGCCACAGCTCGCATTGATGTGCCATCCTGGATGAGCTGCACTACCTGAGCCACTTGTGTGGGTTGTAGACTCCGCCTCATGCTACCACTAGAGTGAAAGCACCGCCAGCATTCAATAGTGACCAAAACATCAGCCAGGAGGCATAGGAACTGAGAAGTGGTCTGTGGTCACCACCTGCAAAACCAGTCCTTTATTGGGGGTGTCTTGCTAATTGCCTATAATTTCCACCTGTTGTCTATTCCATTTGCACAACAGCATGTGAAATGTATTGTCAATCAGTGTTGCTTCCTAAGTGGACAGTTTGATTTCACAGAAGTGTGATTGACTTGGAGTTACATTGTGTTGTTTAAGTGTTCCCTTTATTTTTTTGAGCAGTGTATATTAATTAGGGGTCGAAACACACATAAAATATTCATGGACATTTAGCTAGCTAGCTATTGCTAGCTAGTTTGTCCTGGGAGATGAACATTGGGTTGTTATTTTACCTGACATACGTATAGTCTTCTTTTTAGCTGGTTCTTTGCAGAATTTTGACCCAGAGTCATACAAAATCGTGTGTTTCTCTACTCCGAAGATTAATCCACAGATAAAAAGGGAAACCTAGCTAGTTTTTAGTTAGTTATCTTTAGTTAATCTGTCCTCGTTTGTCTTTCAAACATCCACGTGGGTTTGAATCTTCCTGATATCCAATAAGAAGGGAACTTGCAGCACGTGGAGCGTCTCACAACCAACTTCTATTTTAGTGCCTGGCTACGCAGACGCTCGTTCACGCGTGTGAGTGGTGTGGGTGAAATGATTAAATAACATGTATGTGTAAAAAGAATTGCAACACTCACGCACACAACGTGGCTGGTGAGGTTTATGTGTGACACTTACTTACCTTTGACTTTGCAATCATTGGCCCCTGAGACTATACAATTCCCATGCAGGTCCAGGCAGTTGATGGTACCCAAGTGGCCACGGAAGAGCATAAGGCATACGCCTGTTTTCAGATTCCAACACCTATAGTGAATGTACTGTATATATCAAACCAGTCATTCATAAAGATTCAATAAGTATGATCACCTAAATTAACAAGGTACAACTACAACTGACAGTAAATCGCAAGTTTAGCATTAAAAACAGCATAATTTTTCATCACAGTCATTGCTGGGTTTTCAAACCAAATTCAAAAACCCATTGAATTGAGAAAAACGGGTCCAAACTACCCATTATGGTCTCATTGACTAGAGATACCCATTCTAGTAATTATATTTCTATGCCTTTACCCTCCTCCTACCTGATGCTAAGGTCGTAGCTGGCGCTGATGACCAGTCCTCTCTCCTCACAGAGCAGCAGGGCCCTGATGGAGCCGGCGTGGCCCTGGATCACCGGGGACACCTCCTTCAGTGTCAGCACGTCCAGCAGACGCACCACGCGGTCCTTGGACCCCACGGCCACCAGCTGACCTCCACTGTAGTGCACCACCCTGGAGGGGTCTTCCCTGTTGACCACAACAAAGATACATCAGTTACATCTCAAATGGCCCAAATGCACTACTTCTTTATAGGGCTCTGGTCAAAAGTAGTGCACTATATAGGGAATAGGGTGTCATTTGGGGGACACACCCAGACTTTGAACTATAGGCCTTGTTACTGTATTATTTGTTAGCAGCAGGTGCTACAATGTTACAAAGACACTGTGGTTACCGTTACTGACCTGTCAAGCAGCACCAGAACGTTGTACACTCCACAGTAGACATTCCGCTCTTCCATCTGTATGGCTCGGGTTCTAACGCCAGCATAGATGGCCTCAAAGCCCCTCTCCTGTAGGACAGACAACCACAGATAGCCAGTACAAACATCAGGGGATCATATCCTAGTCAGCAGAATATAGAATAGATTGTTTACTGACCATTTCATAAGATATGGAAAATCTTCTTCCGCTTTTCACAAGCCCCAAGAGACACACACACACAAACACACATACGATGAAAGCAGCATCCCCTGGATCAGTGTTGTAATCTGGGATAAGTGGTGACATTGATTTATATGATATTAAGGTAGATACAGTAGATAGTGATTTGTTTACCTGTCTGATTTTGGATAAGATTTCTCCGTGGTGCATGTGCTTCTCATCCTCCCTGATGGGCACTAGGACCTCGCGGACTTTGGCATATGTAGAGCTGACACCTGTAGTGTTGCTCTGAGAAGAGAAAAAAGTCACATGGGTTTATATTAACATGTACTTCAGTCAAATAGCATGCCATGATGATAATGGACAACCTGTCATCTGTGTGATCCCCTAGATTATCTTGAGCTACTTTTAAAATCAATCAATCAATATATTTGCTAAGTGCCATAAAAAAATCAAAATCCAAGCACTTGTGTGGGTTTGCAAGTTAAAAAGCCTTTAAAGAGCGACTGCCTTTAAAAAGCAATGAATCCCTTTGAAAATGGCCTATGTGGCATCGGTCTGAGTCAGAAACAGTTATTCTAGTGTCAAAATCTACTACAAAGTGTAAATAGTATAATTTTGGTCATAAAGTCAGTCTCGTCTAAAACGGCGTTTGGAACATCCGCGTGTCACAACGGGTAAAAGAAGGTTGGGTTTTGATTTGATGATGTTCATTTACTCACTAAAATGGGGTGAACAGCTGCAGTGATTGCTCTCTATCCAATATCATAGACAGTGAGACAGACCTGCCCAGCAGCTCCTACTTTGTTTACATAAAACAATACGTTGCGCATATATATATTTTTTAAAAGTGAAATACTGCACCAAATACCTTAGTTAGATTTAAAATTACGCAACTAAAATATCCTCGGCAAAAACGTCAAAATTCATTGCAGATTTCTTGACTTATCTTAGATTCATTCTGGGGATTGTGAAATAGGCTTCTGCATGGCATCTACAGTGTGGGATGGGGGACAAACATCATTAACCAAACGCAGAATTCGTCAGGAAACACACCTCCAAGACTGAAATCTATTTTTCCTAATGAGAAACAGAAAAACACACGTGCCAATCGGCGTGTTCAGTCACTCTTTAATGTGTGGGCCTGGACTTTTTTTATGTCACTTAGCAAAGATATTGAGTGTTTGATTGATTTTAAAAGTGGCTCAAGATACTCTAGGGATCATACAGATGCACACATTAAATCTAAATCTGGTGGTAAAAAAATGTGGCACTATGTAGGGAATAGAGTGCCATGTTGGACGAAGGTTGGCATTTATTGAGATGACTGCAGAGTGGTCACTAGCTGGCACAGCCATAAAGTCATAAAATCTGATTGGAAACCTAACCCTAAGCTTAACCACACTGCTAACCTTACTAACTAACCCTTACCTTAAATGAAGACCAAAAAGCTACAAAAAAAACGATATAGCCAATTTTGACTTTGCAGCTGTCCCATCTAGCGGAAACCGCTCAGTTCTGCCTTTAGGGCAAGACACACTTAGCACTTATTTGTAGTTATTATTTTTCCATTTGCTTTTTTAGTACTATTCACCTTCAAGAGCAGCTCCTGCTACTTCTTTTTCTTCAACAATCAATATCTTTATTGCCCTGAATTTTTCAAATCTATGTGCCAATGGTGGATCTAGAGTGTTGTATTTTAATAGTTACCATACAGTACCTGCATCAACATAGCTTGTTTCTCCACCATCTTCTTGGCATTAAGGTCCTCCTGAGTGTCTTCCGTCAGGTATCGCCAGTGTTGGGAGACATCCCTGCAGTGGTGCAGAGAGGCCTTGTCTAGAAGACCTGAAACAAACAGCTTCTGCACTTAAATCCTTGAGGGTATGATGACAAGCAGCCATCCCTCAAACGTTACAGCAGTCCATACTGTACATCTAATGGATATGAGGTCCATTGAAGGAGGACTACTTGAGAATATTCATAACAGAATGAGAGAATTCGGATTGAAATTCTATTCCGTCTACACCAAGGAAACCTAAGTGATGTCACAAGGTGTTTTGTGTTTAAAAGCATGGAATGAGAAAATAATTCAGCGATAGTGGTTCAAATATTGAACAGTTGTTGAAAAGGTAAGTGTCTTTTGTTTGAAAAATATAAAACTATTACGGTATTTTAAAACTATTCCTGTGATATTTTTTTGATATATGCAAACACATCTCTTTCAAATGTAAATGAAGGCTATATAACGACATGTTAACAACACCTCCAAGGGAATTGTTGTACCGGTTGCTAAGCAAAGGTTTGTTGTTCTTCCATCTCGTAAATATCTAGGGAGACCAGCTCAAGGTATAAAGCGGGAGAGGCATAGAGCTTTAAAAGGGTAGCCTTGCATAACAAAGTCATCACCATGGCATAGCTATTTAGCCATGATATGTTTCTCTATGGGGCTGATTCAAGGAAATGTCAACAGGTACTTCAATCTAGACAAAAGGGGACAGTGTAGAGTATACCGCTGTCCCTGAATAGAGCCAGATGAACACTGTGCATATCAGGTGGCATAAGGGGTCGGCGAAGTGCACACGTACAGGTTCACTTCTGCACACACTGAATCTGCAATATGATCGACCATATAAACTACCAACTAGGGAAGGTATGGAGCAATAATAGCTGCTGAGACCAGTATTCTTCATGTAGAATACTGGAGAGGGGGATATGCAGTGATGTAGTAGTAAAAAAATAAATAGGTGCATTAACTGATCGCTGGTCACGGTGAAAAAGGTAATGCTCCCTATACTTTCAATGCATTTTTCAGCAAAACTGTGTTTAGTTGCATTTACCCTCTACTACACCACTGAGTATATTCTCATGTAACACCACAGTGTCACACTCTGGCTCTGGGGACTTTATATGTTGAGTCAGGGTGTGTAGATTCCGTGTGTTTATGTGCTGTGTTTTGAGTGTCTAGTTGTTCTATGTCTAGGTTGGCCTGAGTGACTCCCAATCAGAGGCAACGAGTGTCAGCTGTTTGCTGGTTGTCTCTGATTGGGAGCCATATTTAAACTGTCGGTTTTCCTTTGTGTTTTGTGGGTTCTTGTTTCGTGTTGGTTGTGTTTGACCGTTTACTGTCACGTTACCGTCTTTTGTTGTTTTGATCGCGTTTCACTAAATAAATGAGTATGTTTGCCTGCAACGCTGCGCCTTGGTCTACTCCTTACCCAGACGTTCGTGACAGAAGAACCCACCAAAACTGGACCAAGCAGCGAGTCGAGGAGCCATCGCCAGGGAGATCCCTAGCAGATCTCCGTGGCAGCCTCGACTGGGTCAAGCCGAGGGAGGAGCAGAGAGAGTGGACGTGGGAACAATGGAGGAAGAGCCTCGACTGGGTCAAGCCCATTGAGGAGCTGAATAGCGGGAGTTGGAAGCAGAGGAGTGAGAGTTGGGCGAGAAATATAGAGGCCTGGCCCACGGGGAGGAGAGAACCCCAGAACATTTTTAGGGGGGGGCTCACGACGTGGACGACGGGGCAGCAAGAGGCCGCGATGGAGCGGTCCAGCGGGTGTGCAGAGGAGGCCGCCAGGTTAAGGGGGCCACTGGTCACAGAGGAGAGGGAAAATGTGGAGGCACGGCGAGAGGTACTGGGGTGTGTTACCAGTCCGGTCCGGCCCATTCCTGATCCCTGCGTAGAGCCAGTGGTGTGTGTCCCCAGTACGGTCCGGCCTGTTCCTGTTCCTCGCATCGAGCCTGTGGTGCGTGTCGTCAGCCCGGCCCGGCCTGTTCCTGCTCCCCGCACCGAGCCTATGGTGCGCTTCGTCAGCCCTGTCCGGCCTGTTCCTGCTCCCCGCACAAAGTCTGTGGTGCGTTTCGTCAGCCCTGTCCGGCCCGTTCCTGCTCTCCGCACCAAGTCTGTGGTGCGCGTCGCCAGCCCAGTCCGGCCCATTCCTGCTTCCCGCACCAGGTCTGTGGTGCGTTTCGTCAGCCCTGTCCGGCCTGTTCCTGCTCTCCGCACCAAGTCTGTGGTGCGCGTCGCCAGCCCAGTCCGGCCCATTCCTGCTCCCCGCACCAAGTCTGTGGTGCGTTTCGTCAGCCCTGTCCGGCCCGCTCCTGCGCTCCACACCAGGCCAGTGGTGTGCGTCGTCAGTCCGGTGAGGCCCGTTCCGGCTCCACGCATCAAGCCTGGGGTGCGCATCGTCAGCCAGGTCCGGTCCGTTCCTGCCTCACGCGCCAAGCCAGGGGTGCGCGTCGTCAGTCCGGTGCCTGATCAGGTACTGGTCAGCTGCTCCACAACGGAGCTTAAGCAATCCGCTCCGTCGATGTCCAGTCCTGATCCAGTCAGCGGGGTCAGACCGGACCAGGGGCGCTACGGGAGGATTATGGAGGGGTGGTGGTCAAGCCCGGAGCCGGAGCCGCCTCCGAGGAGGAATGCCCACCCAGCCCTCCCCTGTTTGGGGTTTTTGTTGAGGCGCGGTCGCAGTCCGCGCCTTTGGGGGGGGGGGGTACTGTCACACTCTGGCTCTGGGGACTTTATATGTTGAGTCAGGGTGTGTAGATTCCGTGTGTTTATGTGCTGTGTTTTGAGTGTCTAGTTGTTCTATGTCTAGGTTGGCCTGAGTGACTCCCAATCAGAGGCAACGAGTGTCAGCTGTTTGCTGGTTGTCTCTGATTGGGAGCCATATTTAAACTGTCGGTTTTCCTTTGTGTTTTGTGGGTTCTTGTTTCGTGTTGGTTGTGTTTGACCGTTTACTGTCACGTTACCGTCTTTTGTTGTTTTGATCGCGTTTCACTAAATAAATGAGTATGTTTGCCTGCAACGCTGCGCCTTGGTCTACTCCTTACCCAGACGTTCGTGACACACAGAGTCCACTGAATGATAGCTTAGACATGTTTTGGGGGGGTAGAGGGTGGGGGGTGCATGGTGTCTCACCTAAAATCCTCTTGGCAAGATGAACAGGGAGACCCCGGATGAAGTCTCTATATCGGCTGACCCCAGACAGAGAGGTGGAGGACTGAGGGACCACCCTCAGAGCAGGGTCGTCTGAACAGGTGGAGTCTGTGTCACTATCCTCCTTCACCACGCCCATACACACACTGCTAAAGCCCTGCAAGCCTTCTGAGGTAGGGCTGGGACCCACCACCACCCATGGAGCTACATGGAGTTGGCAGCTCTTGGCTGAAACACAGTGAGGTAGAAATTCATAGTGGACTGGATATGGTGAACTTTGAAGAGTGCACAAACATTTGACCAACCAAAATGTCAATGATCATTGTAGTCTACTTTGATTATAATAATAATAATTTGGTGGGTGTTTATATTTGTCCTATTAATCAAACATTACATTTTTATCATAACCACTCAGTAACACAGGTACCCCCACTGCAGGAGCGGATTGGGACAATAATTAGTCCCTGGCATTTTATCCGTATCCACACCAGCCCACATCATTGCGCACGCCGCCAACTCACCATTTTGTTTGCCTCACTGTTGTGCAGTCTCAGCATCTTTTCTGCTGTCACTCTGTGCTTCTTCTTGTTCTCTGTCTGTCTGCTTATTAAGCCTTATACGTTATAAAAGCCAAGCTAACTAATTAGGCTATATTGTAAATTAGTGCCTGTCATATGTGTTCCCCTGAATCTACACCTACCCTAAGTGTTAATTAATGTTACAGGACTCCTAACCTCATCCCCAGGCTATTGCGCACAGAGCATATAAGCCTGGGATATCAATGACTAAAAGTTGGCCTTGTGGGAGTGACCATAGAATTCTATGGGAGTGACCTACTGACTAAAGGATTTGTCATCATTTAATTTGAGTGAATCACATGACTGAGAGGCGGAAGGTGTTGTGGGCGATGATTGGTTGGTAGATTAAGCCGATTAAGCAAGCCAAGGCCTATGCGCCGGGTCTTTCTGTGTTGGCTAACGAAGGCCAAGTTTGATGCGTTGGTCCACAAGACTCTTTCCGCATTTGGGCGGAAGTGTCTGGGAACGTGGTTAACATTTTCCCCTGGTGTCACTAACTTTTGATTCTAATTAAAATCATTCATAGTGCTTTATTAAGAAGTGTAATAAATAGACTACTTAGGTATTCAAGAAATAAGTTGTTTCATCGAACTCGTCCAAGCAGGAATGGATGATTCAAGATATTTTGATGTGCTACCTAATCCAGCGATTGTCGTGAATTTTGGGTTGACAATTAGACTATAGTTTTCACTGTCAAAATAGGACTACAGAATGTTCAGATGTTTTTTGTTCCATAGAGATGAATTACATACAGTGGGGAGAACAAGTATTTGATACACTGCAGATTTTTGCAGGTTTTCATACTTACAATGCATGTAGAGGTCTGTAATTTTTATCATAGGTACACTTCAACTGTGAGAGACGGAATCTAAAACAAAAATCCAGAAAATCACATTGAGCTAAAGGGTAGAGCTGCCGCTTTCAAGGAACGGGACTCTAACCCGGACGCTTATAAGAAATCCCGCTATGACCTCCGACGAACCATCAAACAGGCAAAGAGTCAATACAGGTCTAAGATTGAATCATACTACACTGGCTCTGACGCTCGTCGGATGTGGCAGGGCTTGAAAACTATTACAGACTACAAAGGGAAGCACAGCCGCGAGCTGCCCAGTGACACAAGCCTACCAGACGAGCTAAACCACTTCTATGCTCGCTTCGAGGCAAGCAACACTGAAGCATGCATGAGAGCACCAGCTGTTCCGGACGACTATGTGATCACGCTCTCCGTAGCCGATGTGAGTAAGACTTTTAAGCAGGTCAACATTCACAAGGCCGCAGGGCCAGACGGATTACCAGGACGTGTACTCCGAGCATGTGCTGACCAACTGGCAAGTGTCTTCACTGACATTTTCAACATGTCCCTGACTGAGTCTGTAATACCAACATGTTTCAAGCAGACCACCATAGTCCCCGTGCCCAAGAACTCTAAGATAACCTGCCTAAATGACTACCGACCCGTGGCACTGACGTCTGTAGCCATGAAGTGCTTTGAAAGACTGGTCATGGCTCACATCAACAGCATAATCCCAGAAACCCTAGACCCACTCCAATTTGCATACCGCCCCAACAGATCCACAGATGATGCAATCTCTATCGCACTCCACACTGCCCTTTCCCACCTGGACAAGAGGAACACCTACGTGAGAATGCTATTCATTGACTACAGCTCAGCATTCAACACCATAGTGCCCTCAAAGCTCATCACTAAGCTAAGGATCCTGGGACTAAACACCTCCCTCTGCAACTGGATCCTGGACTTCCTGACGGGCCGCCCCCAGGTGGTAAGGGTAGGTAACAACACATCTGCCACACTGATCCTCAACACGGGGGCCCCTCAGGGGTGCGTGCTCAGTCCCCTCCTGTACTCTCTGTTCACCCATGACTGCATGGCCAGGCACGACTCCAACACCATCATTAAGTTTGCCGACGACACAACAGTGGTAGGCCTGATCACCGACAACGATGAGACAGCCTATAGGGAGGAGGTCAGAGATCTGGCCGTGTGGTGCCAGGACAACAACCTCTCCCTCAACGTGACCAAGACAAAGGAGATGATTGTGGACTACAGGAAAAAAAAGAGGACTGAGCACGCCCCCATTCTCATCGACGGGGCTGTAGTGGAACAGGTTGAGAGCTTCAAGTTCCTTGGTGTCCACATCACCAACGAACTATCATGGTCCAAACACACCAAGACAGTCGTGAAGAGGGCACGACAAAGCCTATTCCCCCTCAGGAGACTAAAAAGATTTGGCATGGGTCCTCAGATCCTCAAAAAATTCTACAGCTGCACCATCGAGAGCATCCTGACTGGTTGCATCACCGCCTGGTATGGCAACTGCTTGGCCTCTGACCGCAAGGCACTACAGAGGGTAGTGCGTACGGCCCAGTACATCACTGGGGCAAAGCTCCCTGCCATCCAGGACCTCTATACCAGGCGGTGTCAGAGGAAGGCCCTCAAAATTGTCAAAGACTCCAGTCACCCTAGTCATAGACTGTTCTCTCTGCTACCGCACGGCAAGCGGTACCGGAGTGCCAAGTCTAGGTCCAAAAGACTTCTCAACAGCTTCTACCCCCAAGCCATAAGACTCCTGAACAGCTAATCATGGCTACCCGGACTATTTGCACTGCCCCCCCACCCCATCCTTTTTACGCTGCTGCTACTCTGTTAAGTATTTACGCATAGTCACTTTAACTCTACCCACATGTACATATTACCTCAACTAGCCGGTGCCCCCGCACATTGACTATGCAACGGTACCCCCCTGTATATATAGCCTCCCTACTGTCACTTTATTCTATTGTATATATAGCCTCCCTACTGTCACTTTATTTTTTACTTCTGCTCTTTTTTTCTCAACACTTTTTTGTTGTTGTTTTATTCTTACTTTTTTTGTTTAAAATAAATGCACTGTTGGTTAAGGGCTGTAAGTAAGCATTTCACTGTAATGTCTGCACCTGTTGTATTCGGCGCATGTGACCAATAAAATTTGATTTGATTTGATTTGATTTGATTTGATTGTATGATTTTTAAGTAATTCATTTGCATTGTATTGCATGACATACGTATTTGATCACCTACCAACCAGTAAGAATTCCAGCTCTCACAGACCTGTTAGTTTTTCTTTAAGAAGCCCTCCTGTTCTCCACTCATCACCTGTATGAACTGTACCTGTTTGAACTCGTTACCTGTATAAAAGACACCTGTCCACACACTCAATCAAACAGACTCCAACCTCTCCACAATGGCCAAGACCAGAGAGCTGTGTAAGGACATCAGGGATAAAATTGTAGACCTGCACAAGGCTGGGATGGGCTACAGGACAATAGGCAAGCAGCTTGGTGAGAAGGCAACAACTGTTGGCGCAATTATTAGAAAATGGAAGAAGTTCAAGATGACGGTCAATCACCCTCGGTCTGGGGCTCCATGCAATATCTCACCTCGTGGGGCATCAATGATCATGAGGAAGGTGAGGGATCAGCCCAGAACTACACAGCAGGACCTGGTCAATGACCTGAAGAGAGCTGGGACCACAGTCTCAAAGAAAACCATTAGTAACACACTACGCCGTCATGGATTAAAATCCTGCAGCGCACGCAAGGTCCCCCTGCTCAAGCCAGCGCATGTCCAGGCCCGTCTGAAGTTTGCCAATGACCATCTGGATGATCCAGAGGAGGAATGGGAGAAGGTCATGTAGTCTGATGAGACAAAAATAGAGCTTTTTGGTCTAAACTCTACTCGCCGTGTTTGGAGGAAGAAGAAGGATGAGTACAACCCCAAGAACACCATCCCAACCGTGAAGCATGGAGGTGGAAACATAATTCTTTGGGGATGCTTTTCTGCAAAGGGGACAGGACGACTGCACCGTATTGAGGGGAGGATGGATGGGGCCATGTATAGCGAGATCTTGGCCAACAACCTCCTTCCCTCAGTAAGAGCATTGAAGATGGGTCGTGGCTGGGTCTTCCAGCATGACAACGACCCGAAACACACAGCCAGGGCAACTAAGGAGTGGCTCCGTAAGAAGCATCTCAAGGTCCTGGAGTGGCCTAGCCAGTCTCCAGACCTGAACCCAATATAAAATCTTTGGAGGGAGCTGAAAGTCCGTATTGCCCAGCGACAGCCCCGAAACCTGAAGGATCTGGAGGTCTGTATAGAGGAGTGGGCCAAAATCCCTGCTGCAGTGTGTGCAAACCTGGTCAAGACCTACAGGAAACGTATGATCTCTGTAATTGCAAACAACAGTTTCTGTACCAAATATTAAGTTCTGCTTTTCTGATGTATCAAATACTTATGTCATGCAATAAAATGCTAATTAATTACTTAAAAATCATACAATGTGATTTTCTGGATTTTTGTTTTAGATTCCGTCTCTCACAGTTGAAGTGTACATATGATAAGAAATACAGACCACTACATGCTTTGTAAGTAGGAAAACCTGCAAAATCGGCAGTGTATCAAATACTTGTTCTCCCCACTGTACATATTTATGTGGACTAACTAATATCATAGGCTCATTAATTTGGGGTGCAACACCTGAGGAAGTCGAAACTCAAAACACATTAACTAGATCGTTAACTCTAAATATAATACCCACTGCTAGTAGCCATGTATTCACTCAACAGTACATTTTATGTAGGCTACAACCCATACGACCTACAGTGAGGGAAAAAAGTATTTGATCCCCTGCTGATTTTGTACGTTTGCCCACTGACAAATACATGATCAGTCTATAATTTTAATGGTAGGTTTATTTGAACAGTGAGAGACAGAATAACAACAACAAATCCAGAAAAACGCATGTCAAAAATGTTATAAATTGATTTGCATTTTAATGAGGGAAATAAATATTTGACCCCTCTGCAAAACATTACTTAGTACTTGGTGGCAAAACACTTTTTGGCAATCACAGAGGTCAGACGTTTCTTGTAGTTGGCCACCAGGTTTGCACACATCTCAGGAGGGATTTTGTTCCACTCCTCTTTGCAGATCTTCTCCAAGTCATTAAGGTTTCCAGGCTGACATTTGGCAACTCGAACCTTCCGCTCCCTCCACAGATTTTCTATGGGATTAAGGTCTGGAGACTGGCTAGGCCACTCCAGGACCTTAATGTGCTTCTTCTTGAGCCACTCCTTTGTTGCCTTGGCCGTTTGTTTTGGGTCATTGTCATGCTGGAATACCCATCCACGACCCATTTTCAATGCCCTGGCTGAGGGAAGGAGGTTCTCACCCAAGATTTGACGGTACATGGCCCCGTCCATCGTCTCTTTGATGCGGTTAAGTTGTCCTGTCCCCTTAGCAGAAAAACACCCCCAAAGCATAATGTTTCCACCTCCATGTTTGACGGTGGGGATGGTGTTCTTGGAGTCATAGGCAGCATTCCTCCTCCTCCAAACACGGCGAGTTGAGTTGATGCCAAAGAGCTCGATTCTGGTCTCATCTAACCACAACACTTTCACCCAGTTCTCCTCAGAATCATTCAGATGTTCATTGGCAAACTTCAGACGGCCCTATATATGTGCTTTCTTGAGCAGGGGGACCTTGCGGGCGCTGCAGGATTTCAGTCCTTCACGGCGTAGTGTGTTACCAATTGTTTTCTTGGTGACTATGGTCCCAGCTGCCTTGAGATCATTGACAAGATCCTCCCGTGTAGTTCTGGGCTGATTCCTCACCGTTCTCATGACCATTGGAACTCCACGAGGTTAGATCTTGCATGGAGCCCCAGGCCGAGGGAGATTGACAGTTATTTTGTGTTTCTTCGCACCAACTGTTGTCACCTTCTCACCAAGCTGCTTGGCGATGGTCTTGTAGCCCATTCCAGCCTTGTGTAGGTCTACAATCTTGTCCCTGACATACTTGGAGAGCTCTTTGGTCTTGACCATGGTGGAGAGTTTGGAATCTGATTGATTGATTGCTTCTGTGGACAGGTGTCTTTTATACAGGTAACAAACTGAGATTAGGAGCACTCCCTTTAAGAGTGTGCTCCTAATCTCACCTCGTTACCTGTATAAAAGACACCTGGGAGCCAGAAATCTTTCTGATTGAGAAGGGGTCAAATACTTATTTCCCTCATTAAAATGCAAATAAATGTATAACATTTTTGACATGCGTTTTTCTGGATTTTTGTTGTTGTTATTCTGTCTCTCACTGTTCAAATAAATCTACCATTAAAATTATAGACTGATCATTTCTTTGTCAGTGGGCAAACGTACAAAATCAGCAGGGGATCAAATACTTTTTTCCCTCACTGTATAGGCCTATGCCCTCGCAACGGCCGGTGTGCATTCCGCTCAAACGCCGCTCCATATCTCAAAGCCATATCAAATATCTTGGTTGTAAAAATTGTGTTATTGAGATGAATATTGAGAATTAAGAAATAATAATATAAATAAAAATGGCTGCTTCAAATACCTACAGAAAGCTGAGGCCCTCCTCTCTTCCACAAGGACAAGGGGACGAAGCTTCCAAAGATGTGGCTTTCCCGCAATTGCATTTTGAAATGTTATATGATCAGAACGTCTTTTTCTCTTGAGCATATCAAATCAAATCATATTTTATTTGCCACATGTGCCGAATACAACAGGTGTAGACATTACAGTGAAATGCTTACTTACAAGCCCATAACCAACAATGCAGTTTAAGAAAAATTAGGGAGGTTATATACAGGGGGTACCGGTATCAGGGGCGGTGTGTTCAATAGGGCGATATGGGCGACGCACTGCCAAACGGGAAAAGGAAGGGATTTTTTTTCTAATCAATTATATCACGGCAACAGTAGTTATCAGTGTTGTAATCTAGACGTCTGATCTGCCACAGTGCCACTAAATGTCCAATCAGGCTAAAGTCGTGCTTCAAATGCCCCCCCCCCCCCCCCTTTTGGGGCGATTTCAGTCAGGTTGAAAATCGCCCAGAAGTCTGTCATAGACTCCCATGTAAAATCTATTTTTTTCAAATATCAGAGCTTTCAATACAATCTCTATGGGTTTCTGAGGGCTTGCACTTACGCGCTTTCGTCATACGTAACGTAACCATGAACGTAACTAAGAAAAGAGCGGGTAGCCTCATCAATCAATTCACTACTACTGTAAAAATGGCTAGGCTTCAGTGCAACTCGATTGTGTCTTTGAAAGAAGTTCCTTTTTGTCGGCGAACAAATGAAGATAAATTGGCAACGAAACAATTAGGACCTCCCAGACCAAATTTAATAATTCAACAGGTTTCTACTAAAGAGGGGAAGTCCTACACCCGAGGATTTTCCAAAAATTGGTACGAACGAAAAACCTGGCTAGCAGGCTGCGATGTAGCTAATGCAGTCTTCTGCTACCCCCTGCTTACTCTTTCACCCTGAAGGCGGCACGGCAGACAGCTCCGCTTGGACAGCGACTGGTGTGTAACGGACATGCACCATCTTTCAGGAAAGATTAAGAAACATGAGCTGTCAAAGACCCACATGGATAGCTGTTTGAGATTGTCTGCTTTGGGGAGAGTGAACATTCCCACTCAACTGGATGAGGGATACAGGCTAGCTGTCCGCCGCCACAACGATGACGTTAGTGTTGATAATCACAAGTTTACTGGAGAACTGAAACTGACAAGGCTGACAAGATAGGACCCTTTTGTCCATTGTTATTGGATAGGAACAGAACTTATAACCAGCTCCTGACCTAAATAGATCTTAGCACAACATTTTACTCAACATATCATATTCACTATAACAAATATATTTACTACGACATTAGCAAGAACCGCCACATCCTCAGCCGGCTAATCCAGTGTGTGAAGTTTTGCGGAGTGTTTGAGTTAGCTTTGCGAGGCAAAGATGAAACTGAGGGCTCCACCAACCCTGGTAAGCCAACACTTTTGAGATCAGTCAATAAATGCTTCTGGTATTGACTTATATGCTGCCCCTGTCTTCATGTTGTTGCTGGACATATCTTTTTTAAAATGTGTGTAGGTCACCTAAATCATCAGAAAAATTGCCCCCCCTGAGAATTTTTTCAGGAGCCGCCACTGACCGGTATAGAGTCAATGTGCGGGGGCACCGGTTAGTCGAGGTAATTGAGGTAATATGTACATGTGGGTAGAGTAAAAGTGACTATGCATAAATAACAAACAGAGTAGCAGCAACGTAAAAGAGGGGGTTGGGGGGGGGGGGCAATGCAAATAGTCTGGATAGCCATGATTAGCTGTTCAGGAGTCTTATGGCTTGGGGGTAGAAGCTGTTAAGAAGCCTTTTGGACCTAGACTTGGCGCTCTGGTACCGCTTGCCGTGCAGTAGCAGAGAGAACAGTCTATGACTAGGGTGGCTGGAGACTTTGATCATTTTTAGGGCCTTCCTCTGACACCGCCTGGTATAGAGGTCCTGGATGGCAGGAAGCTTGGCCCCAGTGATGTACTGGGCTGTACGCACTACCCTCTGTAGTGCCTTGCGGTTGGAGGCCGAGCAGTTGCTCTCGATGGTGCAGCTGTAGAACATTTTGAGGATCTGAGGAACCATGCCAAATCTTTTCAGTCTCCTGAGAGGGAATAGGCTTTGTCGTGCCCTCTCACGACTGTCTTGGTGTGTTTGGACCATGATAGTTTTTTGGTATGTGGACACCAAGGAACTTGAAGCTCTCAACTTGTTCCACTACAGCCCCGTCGTTGAAAATGTCAGTGAAGACACTTGCCAGTTGGTCAGCACATGCTCGGAGTACACGTCCTGGTAATCCGTCTGGCCCTGAGGCCTTGTGAATGTTGACCTGCTTAAAAGTCTTACTCACATCGGCTACAGAGAGCTTGATCACATAGTCATCCGGAACAGCTGATGCTCTCATGCATGCTTCAGTGTTGCTTGCCTCGAAGCGAGCATAGAAGTGATTTAGCTCGTCTGGTAGGCTTGTTTCACTGGGCAGCTCGCGGCTGTGCTTCCCTTTGTAGTCTGTAATAGTTTTCAAGCCCTGCCACATCCGACGAGCATCAGAGCCAGTGTAGTACGATTAAATCTTAGTCCTGTATTGACTCTTTGCCTGTTTGATGGCTCGTCGGAGGGCATAGCAGGATTTCTTATAAGCGTCCAGGTTAGAGTCCCGCTCCTTGAAGGCGGCAGTGCTACTCTTTAACTCAGTGCGGATGTTGCCTGTAATCCATGGCTTCTGGTTGGGGTATGAACGTACGGTCACTGTGGGGACGACATCATCAATGCACTTATTGATGATGCCAGTGACTGATGTGGTGTACTCCTCAATGCTATCGGAAGAATCCCGGAACATATTCCAGTTTGTGCTAGCAAAACAGTCCTGTAGCTTAGCATCTGCGTCATCTGACCACTTCCTTATTTACCGAGTCACTGGCGCTTCCTGCTTTAGTTTTTGCTTATAAGCAGGAATCAGGAGGATAGAGTTATGGTTAGATTTGCCAAATGGAGGGCGAGGGAGAGCTTTGTACGCGTCTCTGTGTGTGGAGTAAAGGTGGTCTAGAGTTTTTTCCCTCTGGTAGCACATTTAACATGCTGGTAGAAATTAGGTAGAACGGATTTAAGTTTCCCTGCATTAAAGTCACTGGCCACTAGGAGCGCTGCCTCTGGATGAGCGTTTTCCTGTTAACTCATGGCCTTTATATAGCTCATTGAGTGCAATCTTAGTGCCTGCATCGGTTTGTGGTGGTAAATAGACAGCTACGAAAAATATAGATGAAAACGCTCTTGGTAAATAGTGTGGTCTACAGCTTATCATGAGATACTCTACCTCAGGCAAGCAAAACCTCGAGACTTCCTTAGTATTAGATTTTATGCACCAGCTGTTGTTTACAAATATACACAGACCGCCACCCCTTGTCTTACCGGAGTCAGCCGTTCTATCCTGCCGATGTAGCGTATATCCCGCCAGCTGTATGTTATCCATGTCGTCATTCAGCCACGACTCAGTAAAACATAAGATATTACAGTTTTTAATGTCCCGTTGGTAGGATAACCGTAATCTTAGGTTGTCTAATTTATTTTCAAATGATTGAACATTAATAGGATTGATGGAAGAGGCAGTTTACTCGCTCGCCGTCGGATCCTTACAAGGCACCCCGACCTACGTCCACAATATCTCCGTCTCTTTCTCATGCGAATAACCGGGATTTGGGCCTTGTCGTGTGTCTATAGAATATCCTTTGCGTGCGACTCGTTGAAAAAAAAATATTCGTCGAAAACGAGGTGAATAATCGCTGTCCTGATATCCAGAAGCTCTTTTTGGTCATAAGAGACAGAGGCAGAAACATTATGTACAGAATAAATGACAAATTACGCGAAAAAACACACATAAAAGTACAATTGGTTAGAGGGCTGTAAAACGGCTGCCATCTTCTTCGGCACCATTCTATTGACTATGGGGGGAGAGGAGAGTAGGGATGGGCATTTGACTTTTTTTACTGTTTGAGTATTTGCATAATTGTTTTCTCTCGAGTACTCAAAAAAAAAGAAGCAATTTTTATAATACAAATATGTGTGCATTCATCTATATGCTGATAGTGAGTAACAATACCTAATTTATCATACTCAATAGAGATAATTAATCCTAATTGCTAAATTGCCTCATATACACTACCAGTCAAAAGTTTGGACACACCTACTCATTCAAGGGTTTTTCTTTATTTTTACTATTTTTTACATTGTAGGCTCTCATGAGGACCGCCACAGGAATGGAAGACCCAGACTTACCTCTGCTGCAGAGGATAAGTTCATTAGAGTTACCAGCCTCAGAAATTGCAGCCCAAATAAATACTTCATAGAGTTCAAGTCACAGACACATCTCAACATCAACGGTTCAGAGGGGACTGTTTGAATCAGGCCTTCATGGTAGAATTCCTGCAAAGAAACCACTACTAAAGGACACCAATAATAAGAAGAGACCTGCTTGGGCCAAGTAACACAAGCAATGGACATTAGACCGAAGATTTTTGGTTCCAACCACCGTGTCTTTGTGAGACGCGGTGTAGATGAACGGATGATATCCGCATGTGTGGTTCCCACCGTGAAGCATGGAGGAGGAGGTGTGATGATGTGGGGGTGCTTTGCTGGTGACACTGTCTGTGATATATTTAGAATTCAAGGCACACTTAACCAGCATGGCTACCACAGCATTCTGCAGCAATTCGCCATCCCATCTGGTTTGGGCTTAATGGGACTATCATTTGTTTTTCAACAGGACAATGACCCAACACACCTCCAGGCTGTGTAAGGGCTATTTTACCAAGAAGGAGAGGGATGGAGTGCTGCATCAGATGACCTGGCCTCCACAATCCCCCAACCTCAACCCTATTGAGATGGTTTGGGATGAGTCGGACGGCAGAGTGAAGGAAAAGCAGCCAACAAGTGCTCAGCATATGTGGGAACTCCTTCAAGACTGTTGGAAAGCATTCCAGGTGAAGCTGGTTGAGAGAATGCCAAGAGTGTGCAAAGCTGTCATCAAGGCAAAGGGTGGCTATTTGAAGAATCTCAAATATAAAATATATTTTGATTTGTTTAACACTTTTTTGGTTACTACATTACTCCATGTGTTATTTTATAGTTTTGATGTCTTCACTATTATTCTACAACGTAGAAAATAAATTAGTAAAAATAAAGAAAAACCCTTGAATGAGTAGGTGTGTCCAAACGTTTGACTGGTACTGTATATTCACTCAATAAAAAAAACAAGTGCCATTTAAGATGCATTTATTGAAACTGTAATATCAACTGGTTATATTATATCGTGGAACACAATCTTCAAAAAGGTAGTAACCTCAGCAGTGTGGCGCTTGCTTGTAGAAGCCTATGGCTATGCAATGGCATAGCCTTGTTTTGTTAATTTAGCAGACAAGACACGCTAATTTCCCGAGCCCTTATCACAGTCAAGACACCTATTTTATAGTAAAAAACATGATGTAATATAACAGAATAAAATAGAACAGAATAGTGTGAAGTGATTTGCATCTTGCATCTGGAACAGTTATTCTCAAAGAGTGAGCATTTGAAATGGATTAACAATTCTACATTGAACACTGCATGGGGATGAATTATGGCCAGGACATCTGTTTGATGAGTAGTGTGAGAGAAAAATTAACATGTAACATGTTTACCTGCTTTGTTTAATATTAATAGTAAGACATTTCTTACTGTTTTTGTAAAGGGATGGTTTCTACTCCAGCCCCCTGCAGCTAATCTAGGTGTGTGGTCAAGGACATGGGTTTTACTGGAGATAGGGGTATCTGGAGCTGACAATTGATTTATGAATGCCTGCATTTTCATAGACTGAATTGGTGTCTGTAAGTTACCAGGGACGAGATCTGTTATGAATAGTTGATAAGAACCTTGTCTTGGGGGCCAAACCCTGGTTTCCATACAATGAGAACAGTCTTCATAGCAGATACTGTCTGCTGTGAATTATTCATTTATTTCATTCAAATCCTAACCTTTTGACTCATTCCACACATCTGCTGTTTTTCATCTAGAGTGAGAGGGGGTATCGTGCTATAAAATATATTTGTATTGTCTGTATGTCAGAGATCTCCGCCCAACACTCAAGAGTGTTGGGTCGACCAGCCTCACTTACTACCTTGTTAATACGTTTTGAATAAAGTAATATCCTGATTGGTGATTGACCTTGTCTCTCCTCATTACTGATTAGAATGACCACGACAGTAGGCCTAGGCTTAATGAGTCTGATGAAAATCTGCTCTTTGTCTTTATCAAACTAATGTTTTTGCATATTTTCAGTGTGGAACCTGTCTATGTTTAGGGGGGTAATAGCCTAGGCTAACCAATTCTAAATGCCACTAGCAGTTTGCAAAGTGGGGTCGTCACTAACGTTAGTTACCACATCCACAAAGTCATAAACCCTGACTGTTTCTACAATTTCACTTCTTAAAATCTACACACTATTAACCTAATGCCTAACCTTAAATTAAGACCAAAAAGCAAATTCTTCTTTTCATTAATTTTTACGATACAGCCAATTTTGACTTTGCGGTTGTGGTAACTAGTGACAACAGCAAAGTAGCCTAAGCAGAAAATGACGCAATTATTCCAAAATGAATTGTTGGAACTATACTCAAAAAATAATTCATAGAGGAACCTCCTTAGTTGGTGGGGGTTCTTGCAGGAACCTAACTGCCCAATTGAAACATTTGGATTTGAAAGGACAGCAGGTGCAGGCACTTAACTGAAAAATGTAAAGATCTCCTCAATTTAAGGTAAGGGTTGTCCCTTGTATGATCTAAATTGATATTGTTTTATGATGATACCATCTATCTTTTTATATTTGTGCAAATCTTTCTAAAACAGAAAATGGAAACAATTCAATGGATATCAATCAACAAAGAGGTAAGAATATGTAGGCTTTAAGATTATGTTGAAGGCTAGCTGTATTGGATGCAGATGACTGAACTGCTCACTTTTGTGTCTGTGTCTGCTGGTACAGTGCCTTGCAAAAGTATTCATCCCCCTTGGCGTTTTTCCTATTTTGTTGCATTACAACCTGTCATTTAAATTGATTTTTATTTGGATTTCATGTAACGGACATACACAAAATAGTCCAAATTGGTGAAGTGAAATGAAAAAAATTACTTGTTTCAAAGAATGATACAAAATTAATAACGGAAAAGTGGTGCATGCATATGTATTCACCCTCTTTGCTATGAAGCCCCTAAATAAGATCTGGTGCAACCAATTACCTTCAGAAGTCACATAATTAGTTAAATAAAGTCCACCTGTGTGCAATCTAAGTGTCACATGATCTGTCACATGATCTCATTATATATACACACCTGTTCTGAAAGGCCCCAGAGACTGCAACACCACTAAGCGAGGGGCACCACCAAGTAAGTGGCACCATGAAGACCAAGCTCTCAAAACAGGTCAGGGACAAAGTTGTGGAAAATACAGATCAGGGTTGGGTTATAAAAAAATATACGAAACTTTGAACATCCCACGGAGCACGAATATGGCACCATAACAAACCTGCCAAGAGAGGGCCGCCCACCAAAACTCACAGACAAGGCAAGGAGGGCATTAATCAGAGGCAACAAAGACCAAAGATAACCCCAAAGGAGCTGCAAAGCTCCACAGCGGAGATTGGGCTTTTTGGCCATCAAGGTGATATGACGTGTTTTTCACCTTTATTTAACCAGGTAGGCCAGTTGAGAACAAGTTCTCATTTACAACTGCGACCTGGCCAAGATAAAGCAAAGCAGTGCGATAAAAACAACAACAACACAGAGTTGGGATAAACAAAACATATAGTCAATAACACAATAGAAAATCTATATACAGTGTGTGCAAATGTAGTAAGTTATGGAGGTAAGGCAATAAATAGGCCATAGTGCAAAATAATTACAATTTAGTATTAACACTGGAGTGATAGATGTGCAGAAGATGATGTGCCAATAGAGATACTGGGGTGCAAATGAGCAAAATAAATAACAATATGGGGATGAGGTAGTTGGGTGGGCTAATTACAGATGGGCCGTGTACAGGTGCAGTGATGGGTAAGCTGCTCTGACAACTGATGCTTAAAGTTTGTGAGGGAGATAAGACTCTCCAGCTTCAGAGATTGTTGCAGTTCGTTCCAGTCATTAGCAGCAGAGAACTGGAAGGAATGGCAGCCAAAGGAGGTGTTGGCTTTGGGGATGACCAGTGAGATATACCTGCCGGAGAGCATACTACGGGTGGGTGTTGCTATGGTGACCAATGAGCTAAGATAAGGCAGGGATTTGCCTAGCAGAGATTTATAGATGACCTGGAGCCAGTGGGATTGGCGACGAATATGTAGTGAGGGCCATCCAACGAGAGCGTACAGGTCACAATGGTGGGTAGTATATGGGGCTTTGGTGACAAAACAGATTGCACTGTGATAGACTACATCCAATTTGCTGAGTAGAGTGTTGGAGGCTATTTTGTAAATGACATCGCCGAAGCCAAGGATCGGTAGGATAGTGCGTTTTACGAGGGCATGTTTGGCAGCATGAGTGAAGGAGGCTTTGTTATTGAAATAGGAAGCCGATTCTAGATTTAACTTTGGATTGGAGATGCTTAATGTGAGTCTGGAAGGAGAGTTTACGGTCTAACCAGACACCTAGGTATTTGTAGTTCTAATTCAGACCCGCCGAGAGTAGTGATTCTAGTCGGGCGTTCGATTGAAGAACGTTCGATTGAAGAGCATGCATTTAGTTTTACTAGCGTTTAAGAGCAGTTGGAGGCTACGGAAGGAGTGTTGTATGGCATTGAAGCTCGTTTGGAGGTTTGTTAACAGTGTCCAATGAAGGGCCAGATGTATACAAAATGGTGTTGTCTGTGTAGAGGTGGATCTGAGAGTCACCAGCAGCAAGAGCGACATCATTGATATACACAGAGAATAGTTGGCCCGAGAATTTAACCCTGTGGCACCCCCATATAGACTGCCAGAGGTCCAGACAACAGGCCCTCTGATTTGACACATTGCACTCTATCTGAGAAGTACTTGGTGAACCAGGCGAGGCAGTCATTTGAGAAACCAAGGCTATTTAGTCTGCCAATAAGAATGCGGTGGTCGATGAAGCCAGGTCGATGAAGACGGCTGCACAGTACTGTCTTTTATCGATCAAGGTTATAATATCGTTTAGGACCTTGAGCGTGTCTGATGTGCACCCATGACCAGCTCGGAAACCATATTGCATAGCGGAGAAGGTACGGTGGGATTCTAAATGGACAGTGATCTGTTTGTAAACTTTTTTTTTTTTTTTTTTTTTGGGGGGGGGGGGGAATGGATCAGCTTAATATTGCAGATAGATTGTATCTTCTATCAATGTAATTGTCTGCATCACTTCCAATCCCCCATGTTTTTTTTTTTTTTTTTTTTTTTTTTTATATATATACTCCTCTTTATTACTTTTCAACCCCACAATGCCCAGGCCTCTACTTCCGGTCTATACTTACTATCTACACCTTATGGACAGAGTTAATTTTACAATAATTCTATTATATATTTTTTTTTTTGCTCCTGAACTTCTTCTACTCTCAACCTCTCCGATCATTTTCATGATGTCCATCCGGTTTGCTTCTATATGCCATATCTTTCTAACTGTGCTCTTTCCCAAAAGCTCCCAACATACAACCTATATACTTATTATGGACACAGTATGCTTACATTAGTAGCTATCTTTGTTATTATTTGTTGTTATTTGTTATTAGTCCCATCCTTCAACTCTATTCAATACCTCCCATCTATCTCTTAACACCATCCATATAGGATTTCTATTTGCCATATATATTTCAAGCGTACTGTGATGTTTTACAAAAGTTCTGAACCTTTCTATTCTCATTGCTTCTACAGATTGTGAATTAAAAATAAACATTTTTGCTAAAAGTATTATTATATTATTGATTGATTGACTATGACTTTTCAGATCACCCAGTAATGCTATCTGCAAGGTTAGTTCCAGGTAAATATTGCAATCCTTTAGCCATTCCTGGACCTGTGTCCAAAAACAAGCTACAAATGGACAGAACCAAAACAAATGATCTAATGATTCTGTCTCTTCACAGCAAAATCTGTAGAGCTGGGAAGATTGTATCCCCCATATAAATAACATTCTATTGGTAGCAAGAATTTTATATAATAATTTAAATTGAAAGATTCTAATTTTTGAATCCGGTGTCGTTTTGCGTGTCAGTTCATAAACACTATGCCATGGGATCGGTACGTCAAAGATCTCTTCCCAACTATTTTGCAATCTATATGGGACGGCTGTCAATCCTTTGGTCCTTAAGTGAAACTGATATACTTTTTTATTTATCACAGTTTTCCTTAACCAATTACGTTCTTTAATGCAAGGCCGACAGACAAGTTAACTTGGCTTTCAAATACTTTCGAAAGGCAGGGCAGGATGGATATAGGTCTGTAACAGTTTGGATCTAGAGTGTCACCCCCTTTGAAGAGGGGGATGACCGCGGCAGCTTTCCAATCTCTGGGGATCTCAGATGATACAGACCTATATCCATCCTGGATATATGGGCAAGTTGCAGTGGAGGGTGCAGAGCTGGTGGCCGGGGTAGGGGTAGCCAGGTGGAAAGTATGGCCAGCCGTAACAAAATGCTTATTGACATTCTCAATTATCGTAGATTTATCGGTGGTGACAGTGTTTCCTAGCCTCAGTGCAGTGGACAGCTGGGAGGAGGTGCTCTTATTCTTCATGGACTTTACAGTGTCCTAAAACTTTTTGGAGTTAGTGCTACAGGATGCACATTTCTGTTAGAAAAAGCTAGCCTTTGCTTTCCAAACTGATTGTGTATATTTGTTCCTGACTTCCTTGAAAAGTTGCATATCGCGGGGGCTGTTCGATGCTAATGCAGTACGCCACAGGATCTTTTAGTGCTGGTCAAGGGCAGTCAAGTCTGGGGTGAACCAGGGGCTATATCTGTTCTTAGTTCCGAATTTTTTGAATGGGGCATGCTTATTTAAGATGGAGAGGAAAGCACTTTTAAAGAACAACCAGGCATCCTCTACTGACGGAATGAGGTCAATATCCATCCAGGATACCCAGGCCAGGTCAATTAGAAAGGCCTGCTCGCTGAAGTGTTTTAGGGAGCGTTTGACAGTGATGAGGGTTGGTTGTTTGACCGCGGACCCGTTACGGACGCAGGCAATAAGGCAGTGATCGCTGAGAACCTGGTTGAAGGTGTATTTAGAGGGTAAATTAGTCAGGATGATATCTATGATGGTGCCCATTTGTACAGATTTAGGGTTGTACCTGGTAGGTTCCTTGATAATTTGTGTGAGATTGAGGGCATCTAGTTTAGATTGTAGGACGGCCGGGGTGTTAAGCATATCCCAGTTTAGGTCACCAAGCAGTACGAACTCTGAGGATAGATGGGGGGCAATCAATTCGCATATGGTGTCCAGGGCACAGCTGGGGGCTGAGGGGTGTCTGTAGCAAGCGGCAACAGTGAGAGACTTATTTCTGGAAAGGTGGCTTTTTAGAAGTAGAAGCTCAAACTGTTTGGGCACAGACCTGGATAGGCCTCCTGTAGCTCAATTGGTAGAGCATGGCGCTTGCAACGCCAGGGTTGTGGGTTCGATTCCCACGGGGGGCCAGTATGAAAAATGTATGCACTCACTAACTGTAAGTCGCTCTGGATAAGAGCGTCTGCTAAATGACTAAAATGTCAAATGTATGATAGAGCTCTGCAGGCTATCTCTACAGTAGATTGCAACTCCGCTCCCTTTGGCAGTTCTATCTAGATGGAAAATTTTGTAGTTGGAAATTTCAGAGTTTTTGGTGGCCTTCCTAAGCCAGGATTTAGACACTGCTAGCACATCAGGGTTGGCGGAGTGTTGCTAACGCAGTGAATAACTCAAACTTAGGGAGGAGGCTTTTGATGTTAACATGCAAGAAACCAAGGCTTTTACGGTTACAGAAGTCAACAAATGATAGCGCCTGGGGAGTAGGAGTGATACTGGGGGCTACAGGGCCTGGGTTAACCTCTACATCACCAGAGGAACAGAGGAGGAGTAGAATAAGGATACGGCTAAAGGCTTTAAGAACTGGTCTTCTACTGCGTTGGGTACAGAGAATAAAAGGGGGCAGATTTCCGGGCATTGTAGAATAGATTCAGGGCATTATGTACAGACAAGGATATGGAAGGATATGAGTACAGTCATATCACCATCTGTGTTTGATATTGCGGGTTACATAGGATTTTGAGGATGAGGACATTCCATTTATTTCTGTCACTGGTGGGTGTCAGAAGGTATGCGTGCCAAGGAAGACTGGGTGGCCACTGATGTTACTTTTAGAATGAGTATGTGATGGAATGTCCTGACTAGTGTGCAAGATGATACCATCTAGGGTGATACTATTGTTGTTGGGAGTGACACCCAATAATGGTTGGCAAATGTTGGATAGAATTAGCTTGCAAAGCAGTATATAAGCTGAGACATCTTGTATGCCTATCATTCAGATAGCAATGGGCAACTCACGTGTCGTTTGTTATGTGAATCCGGTACCGTAATATTAAATACATGTATCAACTCTCCATCTAAGTGTTAAATATCTTCTTGCATATTGAATTCCTTGATACCAGAGAAACTCATTATAACATAAGGAAAAATATATGCCTGGTGCAAACCCAACACCTCTCATCACCTCGAGAACACCTTCCCCACAGTGAAGCATGGTGGTGGCAGCATCATGCCGTGGGGATGTTTTTCATTGGCAGGGACTGGAAAACTGGTCAGAATTGAAGGAATGATGGATGGCGCTAAATACAGGGAAATTCTTGAGGGAAACCTGTTTCAGTCTTCCAGAGATTTGAGACTGGGACGGAGGTTCACCTTCCAGCAGGACAATGACCCTAAGCATACTGCTAAAGCAACACTCAAGTGGTTTAAGGGGAAACATTTAAATGTCTTGGAATGGCCTAGTCAAAGCCCAGACCTCAATCCAATTGAAAATCTGTGGTATGACTTAAAGATTGCTGTACACCAGTGGAACCCATCCAACTTGAAGGAGCTGGAGCAGTTTTGCCTTGAAGAATGGCCAAAAATCCCAGTAGCTAGATGTGCCAAGCTTATAGAGACATATCCCAAGAGACTTGCAGCTGTAAATGCTGCAAATGGTGGCTCAACAAAGTATTGACTTTGGGGGGGGGGGGGGGGGTGAAGAGTTATGCACGCTCAAGTTTTCTGTTTTTTTGTCTTATTTTTTGTTTGTTTCACAATTTTGCATCTTCGAAGTGGTAGGCATGTTGTGTAAATCAAATGATACAAACCCCCAAAAAATCAATTTTAATTCCAGGTTGTAAGGCAACAAAATAGGAAAAATGCCAAGGGGGGTGAATATTTTCGCAAGCCACTGTATGTCAATTGGTATTGATATGTTATGCTGATCACATTTATCATCCTCCTCCCTTACCTCTTCAATGAATATCCCATAGGCCTCTACATTATGGACAAGGTATGTGTATGAAAACCATTATCAAAACCGTTTTTTCACCACAAAAACCAAGATATGAATTCTGTCATGTGCATGTTTTGTTAATCATCTGTATAATTACAATTTTGGGGATTCACAGACTTCACTCTCCCTACACCTCTGATGAATAGAACAGGAAACCTGTTCAATCACCATGCACTGCAAAATCATTCTGGCTATGTATACAGAGAACATCAACACATTAACATCAACACACCAAAGGATATACCCATTGGACTTGGGGCTCTGCTGGGAGTTTACCTCATATTTGGATTTTTAATTCTGCTTTGCCACAAAAATCATTATAAACACTGAGAACTAAAATATGGTGTTATTGTTATTATTGTTATGCGTATTATTATTATTAATAATAATAATATTATTTATTATAATAATAGTGGGGGGGGGGGCACTTAAAAAATTCACCCAAAAGGTTCTTTGAGGATCCATTTAAAGGGGTTCTTTGAAGAACTAACTTATAGGGGTTCCCCCACAGTTTGAATTTGAAGAACCCCTAAAGGATACTCCAGGGACCTTTTATTTTTAGAGTGTAGGGCTGTTGCGGTGACCGTATTACTGCCACACCAGCGGTCACGAGTCATGAAGGCAGTCAAATTCCACGTGACCGTTTATTCACAGCATTTCTATAGGTTATGCAATTGCGCAAGAAAACAAAGTGATGGCCTCTACTAAAAAGAGGAGGATCCCATCAGCTTTATATAGGCTAGGCCTACTATATTTATTTCTCAACTTTCCTAATATTAAGCACATTGTTTATCTTTACCACAGGAGTATAGCCTACCTGGCTGGCATGAAAATGAACCACGGGAAAAGCGTCCTCCATTCGCTATTTAAGTGCATAGATAACATATATTTTTTCCGGCTGCCCCAGTTTCGAGACAGGTGCATGATAATGGTCCATTCTAAATCAAAACAAATTTCACACATATATTATTTTGTATATGTAAAGACAAGATTAAAACAAAAACAGTCTGATGGGTGACAATATTAGCCTATCATTACTTGTGAATGATGCCCAGCATAAGAAACTGCCTTTTTTTTATCATAGTTGCACACCTCATGTAGCCTAGCCCATAAGCCTGCATGTTTTGATAAGGTTTGTATCACAACTAAAGTGGCCAAATAACTTCTTAAAATTAAGCAAATTAATCCGCTTTACAAGGCGTTCAGAGCCTAACAGGCATACATAAGCAGCGTGTGAGTTTCAAGTTCAGGGAAGATAATTTTCACCATAAAAATACACCTTTATAATAAAAGCATTACATGCATAATCACATTTGCGGTAACGTTTGATAATGGTGATTTCTCGCTAATGGAACATTCAAGCTTATAGCCTACTGCCATGTGCGCATTACTGCGCTTATAATGTGAAGAAATAGCCTAATTGTTTATCAACATTTTAAGCTAAATGTTCTGATCTGTTGCGTCAGCCACATTGCGTAAAATTTTTTGTGGGATCTATTGCATCCCACAACTGTCCCAGACTATGTTTGGAATATTTATTTCTTGCACAGAATAGAATAGGTCGACTTTTGTATTATGGGGGATAGTAGATTGACATAGGCTAGTGCTTTTGCTGTTCGTTAGGCCTAATCATCTTGATGGCTGACGAAAAGTAAATGTGGACAGTTCTTCCAATATCTTTAATATGCACCTCGGCATTGGATAAGGACGCGTGCAGTTGCGTCCCCAATGTGTCGGTCTTCACTTGTAGCCTGTGAGAAAGACCTGATCACGTGATGGAGTGCCATGTGAGTGAGAGGTGCTTAGGAGCGTGCAGCACTCAGGGAGAAGGACACAACACAGCACTCCGGGCCAAGGGCACAACGGCCACTGGCCGCAAAAGGCATGGATTTCTTTAGGGTGCATTACGGCCACAAAGGGGATGCCACCGTGAAATTCGAGGCATTGTCAAGTGCTTGTCAAATTGTGAATGAGAGACTAATGAAGAGTGTACTGCCTGCGCAAAAAACAAAGCAGCTCATGCCTTTCAAGCAACTTTTTTCAAATCATCATTAGAGTCGCATCATGCAGCCTTACAATGTTTTAAAAATCAAAACATATAGCCCAACGTTTGTAGAACAACTGAAGTTACATTAATATCTCCAAATTAAGCATATAGGAGTACCTATTTCTTTGTTAACCGCTCAACACAAAATAGCCGCATGTGCGCACTCCCTTAAAAATAATTTGGAGAAAATATTTATAGTTTATTCAGCTTTGTTCAATTGTATTCTTCATACTATAAAATAATATAAAATAATGCCATGGAATTCTAACCAAATCTTGTCTGCTAAATGAACTAGTGTAGCCAACAGCCATTTGGCATAGCCAGATCAGGACCTAACATAAGGACAACTCAGAGTATGCTATTCTGTTCTTCTGAAATAGACTACATTTTAGTCATTTAGCAGACGCTCTTATCCAGAGCGACTTACAGTTAGTGAAGACATATTTTTTTTATACTGGCCCCCTGTGGGAATTGAACCCACAACCCTGGCGTTGCAAACGCCATGCTCTATCAACTGAGCTACATCCCTGCCGGCCATTCCCTCCCCTACCCTGGACGACGCTGGGCCAATTGTGCGCCTCCCATGAGTCTCCCGGTCGCGGCCGGCTGCGACAGAGCCTGGATTCGAACCAGGATCTCTAGTGGCACAGTTAGCACTGCGATGCAGTGCCTTAGACCACTGCGCCACTCAGGAGTTAATTTTCTTCATATCATGCTTCTTAAGACCTGTCTAAAATAAATAATGTATTTATTGTGAAGGTGTAGGCTATATTACATGTTTTTATTAGACTTTTTTAAATGTAGATGTTCCAAAGGTCTGCATCAGTGGCTTGTAGGCCATGTGTGGAAGCCAGGAGATGCTAAATGTGTTTATGTTAATTAACGGTCAATTACCGTGAGACCAACAGTTATTTGCTTGACAATCACCGGCTGACGAAATTTCGTGACCGCCACAGCCCTAGTTGGAACACATATTTCCCTACTTCAGTCAACCAGTGCATTTAGAATCTGTGATAAAACTGTCATCATTTGGCAATGAATGTAGCTTCAGCTTGTATATCCCATCAGTTAGATACATTTTTATAGGCATTTATTTCTGGAGGCGCACACAGCACGCGTGTGTAGAGGCAACGGTCGGAACACAATTGAGTGAGTGAGACACGGAGGGGGATTTGGGGAGCAGAACTGTGTGATGCTTGGCTTGGTTAATTTTTTGTTGTGTCCCGTAAATGCACGTGTAAATGGAACAAAGCAAATTAACATTGCCTTCAAGACTAAATTTCAACCAAATAGTTTTACAGTATTTTAATGTTTTTTATCTCTTGTTAAAGATCTAGATTTGACATCAGTTAGAGTACTCAAGTATTCGATTACTAATGCCCATCCCTAGACAAGAATGACTCGCTCATCACAGCAGCAGGCCCCAGCAAGGGCACAGGCACAGGGGCTGGGCAGACACTTCCATTACGGGAATCATGAGGTTATAATGCACTTTACTGTTTGATCAAATCTTGGTTTTAGCCGCCCAAAGAATAGGACATTTTGAGCGAGGTAACAATGTAGAATGAGTTATTTCTACATTTATGGGCACCCTTTCAATTTTTAAGATCCATGATCTTGGCTCTCTAACTGATGACAGAGTCGGAGCAGGTCTCTTTGCTGATGCCGCGTTTGACTTTGAATGTGAGTTTGTGTGACCTCAGCTCAGCCTATAAGAAGACCAGGCCGTTCATTCTTAGTAGAGGGCCAGCCGTTGCCCACTGATAAGCCAAAGGCACATTATAGATTAGTAGAAAAAATTAATTGAGCAAACATCTGGCCATGTCACCGGTTTAAATGTTTCATTTTTATATACAGTACCAGTCAAAAGTTTGGACACACCTACTCATTCAAGTGTTTGTCTTTATTTTTACTATTTTCTACATTGTAGAATACTAATGAAGACATCAAAACTATGAAATAAAAACATATGGAATCATGTACAGTGGAGGAAAAAAGTGTTTAGTCAGCCACCAATTGTGCAAGTTCTCCCACTTAAAAAGATGAGAGAGGCCTGTAATTTTCATCATAGGTACACGTCAACTATGACAGACAAATTTAGAAAAAAAAATCCAGAAAATCACATTGTAGGATTTCTAATGAATTTATTTGCAAATTATGGTGGAAAATAAGTATTTGGTCACCTACAAACAAGCAAGATTTCTGGCTCTCACAGACCTGTAACTTCTTCTTTAAGAGGCTCCTCTGTCCTCCACTCGTTACCTGTATTAATGGCACCTGTTTGAACTTGTTATCATTATAAAAGACACCTGTCCACAACCTCAAACAGTCACACTCCAAACTCCACTATGGCCAAGACCAAAGAGCTGTCAAAGGACACCAGAAACAAAATTGTAGACCTGCACCAGGCTGGGAAGACTAAATCTGCAATAGGTAAGCAGCTTGGTTTGAAGAAATCAACTGTGGGAGCAATTATTAGGAAATGGAAGACATACAAGACCACTGATAATCTCCCTTGATCTGGGGCTCCACGCAAGATCTCACCCGTGGGGTCAAAATGATCACAAGAACGGTGAGCAAAAATCCCAGAACCACACGGGGGGACCTAGTGAATGACCTGCAGAGAGCTGGGACCAAAGTAACAAAGCCTACCATCAGTAACACACTACGCCGCCAGGGACTCAAATCCTGCAGTGCCAGACGTGTCCCCCTGCTTAAGCCAGTACATGTCCAGGCCCGTCTGAAGTTTGCTAGAGTGCATTTGGATGATCCAGAAGAGGATTGGGAGAATGTCATATGGTCAGATGAAACCAAAATAGAACTTTTTGGTAAAAACTCAACTCGTCGTGTTTGGAGGACAAAGAATGCTGAGTTGCATCCAAAGAACACCATACCTACTGTGAAGCATGGGGGTGGAAACATCATGCTTTGGGGCTGTTTTTCTGCAAAGGGACCAGGACGACTGATCCGTGTAAAGGAAAGAATGAATGGGGCCATGTATCATGAGATTTTGAGTGAAAACCTCCTTCCATCAGCAAGGGCATTGAAGATTAAACGTGGCTGGGTATTTCAGCATGACAATGATCCCAAACACACCGCCCAGGCAACGAAGGAGTGGCTTCGTAAGAAGCATTTCAAGGTCCTGGAGTGGCCTAGCCAGTCTCCAGATCTCAACCCCATAGAAAATCTTTGGAGGGAGTTGAAAGTCCGTGTTGCCCAGCGACAGCCCCAAAACATCACTGCTCTAGAGGAGATCTGCATGGAGGAATGGCCTAAATACCAGCAACAGTGTGTGAAAACCTTGTGAAGACTTACAGAAAACGTTTGACCTGTGTCATTGCCAACAAAGGGTATATAACAAAGTATTGAGAAACTTTTGTTATTGACCAAATACTTATTTTCCACCATAATTTGCAAATAAATTCATTACAAATCCTATAATGTGATTTTCTGGAATAGTTTTTCTCATTTTGTCTGTCATAGTTGACGTGTACCTATGATGAAAATTACAGGCCTCTCTTATCTTTTTAAGTGGGGGAACTTGCACAATTGGTGGCTGACTAAATACTTTTTTCCCCACTGTAGTAACCAAAAAAGTGTTAAACAAATCAAAATATAGAGATTCTTCAAAGTAGCCACACTTTGCCTTGATGACAGCTTTGCACACTCTTGGCATTCTCTCAACCAGATTCATGAGGTAGTCACCTGGAATGCATTTCAATTAACAGGTGTGCCATGTTAAAAGCTAATTTGCGGAATTTGTTTCCTTCTTAAAGCGTTTGAGCCAATCAGTTGTGTTGTGACAAGGTAGGGGTGGTATACAGAAGATAGGCCTATTTGGCAAAAGACCAAGTCCATTTCATGGCAAGAACAGCTCAAATAAGCAAAGAGAAATGACAGTCCATCATTACTTTAAGACATGAGCGTCAGCCAATCCGGAACATTTCAAGAACTTTGAACGTTTCTTCAAGTGCAGTCGCAAAACCATCAAGCGCTATGATGAAACTGTCTCTCATGAGGACCGCCACAGGAAAGGAAGACCCAGAGTTACCTCTGCTGCAGAGGAAAAGTTCATTAGAGTTAACTGCACCTCAGATTGCAGCCCAAATAAATGCTTCACAGAGTTCAAGTAACAGACACATCTCAACATCAACTGTTAAGAGGAGACTGCGTGAATCAGGCCTTCATGGTCGAATTGCTGCAAAGAAACCACTACTAAAGGACACCAATAATAAGAAGAGACTTGCTTAAGCCAAGAAACACGAACAATGGACATTAGAGTGGTGGAAATCTGTCCTTTGGTCTGATGAGTACAAATTTTGAGATTTTTGGTTCCAACTGCCGTGTCTTTGTGAGATGCAGGCTAGGTGAACGGATGATATCCGCATGTGTGGTTCCCACCGTGAAGCATGGAGGAGGTGGTGTGATGGTGTGGGGGTGCTTTGCTGGTGACACTGTCAGTGATTCATTTAGAATTTAAGGCATACTTAACCAGCATGACTACCACAGCATTCTGCAGCAATACGCCATCCCATCTGTTTTGCGCTTAGTGGGACTATCATTGTTTTTCAACAGGACAATGACCCAACCCACCTGTGTATATATAGTGCATTTGGAAAGTATTCAGACCACTTGACTTTTTCCACATTTTGTTATGTAGCCTTATTCTAAAATGGATGAAGTTGTTGTTTTTCCCTCATCAATCTACACACAATACCCCATAATGACAAAGCAAAAACAGGTTTTTAGAATTTTAGCATATTTATAACAATTATGATAATGAAATATCACATTTACATAAGTATTCAGACCCTTTACACAGTGATTTGTTGAAGTACCTTTGGCAGCGATTACAGCCTCCAGTCTTCTTAAGTATGACGCTACAAGCTTGGCACACCTGTATTTGGGGAGTTTCTCCCATTCTACTCTGCAGATCCTCTCAAGCTCTGTCAGGTTGGATGGGGAGCATCGCTGCACAGCTATTTTCAGGTCTCTCCAGAGATGTTCGATCGGGTTCAAGTCCAGGCTCTGGCTGGGCCACTCAAGGACATTCAGAGACTTGTCACGAAGCCACTCCTGCGTTGTCTTGGCTGTGTGTTTAGGGTCGTTGTCCTGTTGGAAGGTGAACCTTCGCCCCAGTCAGGTCCTGAGCGCTCTGGAGCAGGTTTTCATCAAGGATCTCTCTGTACTTTGCTCCATTAATCTTTCCCTCAACCCTGACTAGTCACCCAGTCCCTGCCGCTGAAAGACATCGCCACAGCATGATGCTGCCACCACTATGCTTCACTGTAGGGTTGGTGCCAGGTTTCCTCCAGACGTGATGCTTTGCATTCAGGCCAAAGAGTTCAATCTTGGTTTCATCAGACCAGAGAATCTTGTTTCTCATGGTCTGAGAGTCCTTTAGGTGCCTTTTGGCAAACTCCAAATGAGCTGTCGTGTGCCTTTTACTGAGGAGGGGCTTCCGTCTAGCCACTCTACCATAAAGGCCGGATTGGTGGAGTGCTGCAGAGATGGTTGTCCTTCTGGAAGGTTCTCCCATCTCCACAGAGGAAGTCTGGAGCTCTGTCAGAGTGACCATCAGGTTCTTGGTCACCTCCCTGACCATGGCCCTTCTCCCCCGATTGCTCAGTTTGGCCGGACAGCCAGCTCTAGGAAGTGGTAGACATTTTTTGGTGCCCTTCCCCAGATCTGTGCCCCAATACAATCCTGTCTCGGAGCTCTATGGACAATTCCTTCGACCTCACGGCTTGGTTTTTGCTCTGACGTGCACTGTCAACTGTGGGACCTTATATAAACAGGTGTGTGCCTTTCCAAATCATGTCCAATCAATTGAATTTACCACAGGTGGACTCCAATCAAGTTGTAGAAACATCTCAAGGATGATCAATGGAAACAGGATGCACCTGATCTCAATTTCGAGTCTCATAGGAAAAGGGTCTGAATACTTATGTAAATAAGGTATTTCTGTTTTTTCTGTTTAATAAATTTGCAAAAATTACCTGTTTTTGCTTTGTCATTATGGGGTATTGTGTGTAGATTGATGAGGGAAAAAAACTATTTCATCAATTTTAGAATAAGGCTGTAATCTAACAAAATGTGGAAAAGGGGAAGGGGTCTGAATACTTTCCGAATGCACTGTATATATAAAAACAATGTGTGAATTTCGACCAGCCCACCCAAATAAAAAATGGTCCAGCCCATCTGGCATATGCCAGAATTGCCAATCCGCCCCTGCCCCACTGCCCTTACAGGTTGACCATCGATAGGCCTACAGTTACTGACATTCATTCCTGATGGCAACAAAACACAAAAACATTTCTAACAGCAACACTCACAGAGCTCTGGATCATGGCAAGTCTCCTGGCCTCCATCGATGGTGTCAATGTCAGTCTCATGGTGCATGTTGACAGCCTCATAGAATGAGCTGGCCCGGATGAGGAGTTCCAGGTCTGGATGATCCTCCTGAGAGTTGAAAGAGTAGGTGGATTCTGGGATACAGGAGGTGTCATCCTCAGGATCATCATCCTCCAGCACTGAAAAGAGAGGTTCAATTATTATAGGTTAAAAATACATCCAGTTTTTCAAATTTGCCTACAATTCATAAAGATAACTTTCATACTTTTGCATGGAATATCATTTCAGGTGTGATCATTATATAGGCTACAAATATGCTAAAATGAAAATGAACTTAGTGGAGGACGTCAATAAGTTGTCATAACACTAAATCAAATGTTATTTGTCACATGCGCCGAATACTGGCCCTTCCTAACGATGCAGAGTAAAAAAAAATATATATATATATATATATATACATATCATAAAAAGAAAAATAGTAATACAAGAAATACAAGTTATTATATTATATTCCAGGTGTTAGCAGTATAAAGAAAAAATCCACCCAAAATCACTCATTCCTATAATTTACAGTGTTGCATAACACTAATATGTGACAACAATATTTTTTGTGAACAAATGTTTAATTTTGTCTTTATAATAAGGTTGGGTAGCAACATGTGAAAATCGTTGCAGCTCAAGTCTGTAAACTGGTCATCTCTGTATACCCCATCGCAAGACCCACTGGTTAATGCTTATTTATAAAACCTTCTTAGGCCTCACTCCCCCCTATCTGAGATACCTACTGCAGCCCCCATCCTCCACATACAACACCTGTTCTGCCAGTCACAATCCGTTAAAGGTCCCCAAAGCACACACATCACTGGGTCGCTCCTCTTTTCAGTTCGCTGCAGCTAGCGACTGGAACGAGCTGCAAAAAACACTCAAACTGGACAGTTTTATCTCCATCTCTTCATTCAATGACTCAATCATGGACACTCTTACTGACAGTTGTGGCTGCTTCGCGTGAAGTATTGTTGTCTCTACCTTCTTGCCTTTGTGCTGTTGTCTGTGCCCAATGATGTTTGTACCATGTTGTGCTGCTGCCATGTTGGTGTTGCTACCATGTTGTTGTCATGTGGTGTTGCTACCATGCTGTGTTGTCATGTGTTGCTGCCATGCTATGTTGTTGTCTTAGGTCTCTCTTTATGTAGTGTTGTGGTGTCTCGTCGTGATGTATTGTAATCCCAGGCCCCGTCCTCGCAGGAGCGCTTTTGCCTTTTGGTAGGGCGTCATTGTAAATAAGATGTTGTTCTTAACTGACTTGCCTATTTAAATAAAGGTTACATTAAAAAAAAAATCGACTACAAAACGCACAATGCAATAATCTCTCTATGGGGTGGCTGGCTAGCTACCTAGTACCTAGCGTAGCTACATACACAATAATACCAAAGTCAATACCAGCATGTGTAGTAGCTAGTTAGCTGTAAAATCGCCTACAAACTGCACTATCAATTTAGGAGTCTACAATATCCACATGTTCAACCTGCAGATCGATGTGCCTCAGAGTGGAGTATTATATTCGCAATAGCACCACGCAACGCACCCTGGACTGAAGAGGCAGACAAATTGGAGAAATGTGTTAAACCCTCTGTTAAATTACACATTTCTCGAGGTAGCAATATCGCAAAAACACGATCAATGGCTCATTCGAGAGAAGTCAACCTCTCGCATTATGATATCGACCAGTATTGAAATCTGACATGTATGATACACGTTTTTTCGATCTAAAAGTCGTATTCCTATTAACTTCCAGTGTAGTGAGAAAGGATTTAATACCAATGCTACGTCATTTCGGGCGAATTTCTGCATGCTTGAACGATAATAGCTCACATACACATGAAAACATGAAATGACTCAGGAAATCGTTAGAACATCGCTCACAGATACACAAATATAACATTCAAAATGGGTGAATCTTTACTTTAAGTACCTGTACCGTTATATTGGAGGAAGGCCCGTTTTGCTCTCACTATAAGTACACTTGTCATGTTTCCAAGCATGTGAAGAAGCTCGGTTTCGCAGAGGGAAAGAATTCCTAAAAGATAGTTGTATTTTGTCCAGTGGTGGCTGCGACTGAACCAGTCCCAAGTGTCAACCATCTCCATCCCAAGAAGTTTGGTGTCAAGCGCTCGGTCCTGGCTCCAAGTGGTCATATCTTCTGGAACACTTGGCTTCTGTCGTGACCTGGTATAGGTGAAATCTTTCCCAAATGTCACTTGCAGTACTCTTTGGATGGTTTCGAGAATCTCGACACTTTTGCACCGCACGAGAATGCCAGTGAGGAATCTCCGTTTGGGCGCGTCCCCTGCGCGCGACATCCACTGGGTCGAATCGTGGAGCTTGGAAGTGAAGATGCAAGATTGGCAATTTCCACAGATGTTGAAATGTGCATTCTCCTTCTTGCAACAAAGCTTGTCCATTGTGTCGACTCTATATCCAGACTGTTCTTTTGATCCAAAGCGTTTCATTGCGTTGGTTAATTAAGCGTAGTTTAATTTCAAATGTAAAAAAAAAAGTTATGTTTCCGACTGGCTGCACTACAACCTGGTTGGAACTTCTTATCGCTGTTGCTTGGTTGTTGCCATGCGACTAGCCCAAGGGTTGCCTGGAAACCTGACGTTGAATTGTATTGAATTCTACGTCGGGCAGGAATAAGCGTTTGAATCTACGTCGGGCAGGAAAAGCTTTTGAATCAGGAAAGTTTCCTCTCACAAGCCAGAATGTTGAATAAATTGATATTTTAACGTAGTCTACCGTTTGTTTGTGCGGTTGGTCCTTTTTTGCGGTAGGAATGTGAGACAATATAGCCACATGTCCGGCCAGGCATACTTTACCGGTTGGACAACCCCATGGACAACCGGTAAAGTATGTTAAAATATAATTGTATTCAACATTCTGGCTTGTAGAGGTCATGAGAGGAAACTTTCCAGCTGCTGCGGTAAAATGTTGCATATTTTGCTGATGATGACTAAACCAAGTAAACTCATCGCTGTTGTTACAGTGTGTAATCGTGCATTTAATGCACCATCGAAAACAGCACTGCAGTCTTGTGTCAAGATAGCAAAATTAGTGCGCCGCCCGGGAATCGAACCCGGGTCGAAAGAATGGGAATCTTCCATGATACCACTACACCAGCGGCGCTGATGAATATTATTGTAATTTCGGATTATATGAAGAGCTCATTCATCACGTAAGGTCATTTATGAAATTATGTACCTGTATAAAAAACTAAAGTCTATGAATAACACTCTAGTCATCAAAGCATAATTGATCATTGTAAAAGGTCACAGTTTAGAGGCGAGCCATCGTTGTGGAAGGTTTTCACTTCCGGGTCATGAAAAAGGGACATCGCTACAAGCTACCATTGAATGGTTGCGACCCGCCATAAAAAAACTTAAAGATGAAGAAGTAGAAGCTTCCCATTAATTTTCTCCTCAAAAGTCAAATCAGTTTTCCAAAATTGACATTCACTAGTACCTAAATGATAACGAAGATTATTACCAAGTAATTACAGGTTTCAGGAAGATCAGGTTGTCCAGGTTTGTCAATAGTATTGTGTAACATTAGCTAGCTACCTTGCAAGATAATGCTAATTCCACATTGCTAGCTAGCATTTTTGTATGTAGCTTGCTAGCTAACAACATTGTGCATTATGACATTTAGATGTTTTATTTTCGTTAGTAGCTAATGCACTGTTAAATTAATTCGTCAGATTGATATAATATCAGGACAAATGGCTATTGCCATAGTTTATCACGCAGTGTGAAGGTTTTGCCCTGATACATGGCTGTTGTGTTGTGCTTGCTAACACTGTCATTGCTACAATACTAACCAACTATAGAGCCTACAGTGATGTCTGAAGAAGTGATCGTCGTGGAGTGGGCAGAGCCTGGTGCATCAGAGGAGGGATACCAAGTCCAACTCATTACAGACAACCCCTCCGCAGGTGTGGTACTCAGGCTACAGTAGCCGAATTCAATCAGAGTTTTAGATTGTGTTTGTCATGTACTCCTGTGTCAGGAATGTTTGTCATATACTCATGTTTCTCACTGGATCTGTGTTGTCACAGTGTTGCCTGACAGCCTCGTCCAGAATATATTGGTGAACACTGTGGTACAAGGCCAAGAGGAGGATCATCCACTACTAGATGACAACGGTAATGACCTCTGTGAGTAAGAACAAATTCTGTGTACTCTATCTTGAATTCCAAGGCCATCAATGGTCTTTGCATGCATCTTTCAAATCATAGTTGCTTAGATCTACACTTAGTAAGTGGAAGGCCTTGTTATATCCAGGTTAGCTTACCACATGATTGTACCATCTTACTTAGGCCTATCACTTTGTATTTCTATTTTTACAGATTGTGAGGAGTGTCATGCCTCCGACAAAGACCAGTGTTATGTCCAAGGTGGTCTATCCTTCATGCTGGACTCTCCCACTCCAATGGGTGTACCCCAGAGGGCCCTCCTCACCCTACCCCATGGGCTGGTGGTAGGCAGGTCCAGTATCCCAGGGGCAGGCCTGGGGGTCCTAAACCAAGGGCCAACGGTGGCCCCAGGAATGCACTTTGGCCCCTGTGAGGGGGAGGTGACTACCAGGGAAAGAGCAGTAGCAAGTGACTACTCCTGGGAGGTGAGTGAGTGCTGATATATTGGGCAATTCTGATATCTAGGGCAATTCAGATGGCTGATTTAGGACCTTTTTACTGAAGAATGTGTTTGTTTCCTATGATTGTGTTTTGTATCTCTGTTTTGCTTTTCGTAGTGATATATGTGTATATTTTTGTATTTGCAGGGCTCATCTGTTAAAGAGACCTTGGTCTCAGCTTGACTCCCTGTCAAAATAAAGGTTAAATAATGTACAAAATACTGTGTCCCAACTGGCGCCCTATTCCCTACTTTTGACCACAGCACTAGGACCCTGGGTGATATTTGGCTGCACCTATAAGCCTATTTCATGGAAATCTTAAGCATTGTGTCTATACTCTATTTATGACTATGTTGTGCCGAGTCAGCTGAGATTATTTGTCATGTTTTTCTATAAAAGCATTGCTCTTTTTTCAGGTCTGGAACAGTAAGAGTGAATCTGAGTACATCGATGCTGCACGAGACACTCATTCCAACTGGATGAGGTAACTTAGGTTGTAGGACGTACCCTCACTTATTTTACACTCCAACTCTGTCTGTTTCTTATGGAGTGCTAAGTCACATTGCGCTCTCTCTCAGGTATGTGAACTGTGCTCGTAGTGAAGAGGAGGGTAATCTCATAGCACTCCAGTACAGGGGGATTGTTTTCTTCCACTGCTGCCGCTCCATCCTCCCAGGAGATGAGTTCCTGTTTTGGCCTGGGGGCAGATTCATCGAAAGGTTCAGGGACCCCTCTGACCAAATCTGGCTCCGAAAGTGCACCCCTTCAGGTACTTATCGTTCCCAGTCTCCTTATACGAACTTGCTCTGGCACTGGGCGTCTAGAAGGCTCCTGTGAGGGTGCATAAGGAATAATAATAGGGAATATTACAATTCTCAAACTCAAAGTCACTTTAGTAATGTTTAGTAAGACCTAACCTTTTCGTCTTATTTTCTCTCTGTTTCAGAGTTTAGAACAGATTTGTCGTCTCAGGTTTTCCTCTGCTGTCAGTGCCAGCTTTCTTTCACCACCAAGTCCTACCTTCAAAAACATACAGAGAAATCACACTCTCTGGACCTATCGCCTGCGTCTGCATTGAGTGAGCTTGACAGTCACCTTTCTAACGGCAATGTGAAGCCAGACCCTATGTCGTCATCCTCTGTAGGTGAGTTGGCCTACCGGTGCCCTCAGTGTCCTAAGAGCTTTAAGCAGAAGGGCCATGTCCAGAGACACATGCGAAATGTCCACTCCAAGGTGAAACCGTACTGCTGCATCCATTGTAGGAGGTGTTTCGCTCAGCTGTCTTGTCTGGCCAGGCACCAGATACGAGTTCATGGAAAGAAGAAGAAGCAGGGAATAGCAGAGTTTATGTCTGAAGAGGTCAGAGGGAAGAGACAGCCATCCTCTGACAGGACCCAGGAAACTGAGTCCCCCACCTCCGATGCTCCACCTACAGGGGCCTCTGTCTTATTCCCCTGTCCTCATTGCCCATTCTCTTCTACTGTGGAGAGCAGCCTTTGTCAGCACATGAAGAGCCATGACCAAAGGGAAAAGGTCATCAAAATGCAGGCTTCTGTAGAGGTCAGAGGGGAGAGCACCGACAAACCCGAACCCCCAGAACCCCCCTCTGATGCTCTACATACAGAGCCCCAGACAGATGAGTCGGCACAAACAGGTGAAGAGGCCAACAGCTGCTCTCAGTGTGGGAAGAGCTTTAAACAGAAGGGCCACTTCCAAAGACACATGCGAGCTGTCCACTCCAACGTCAGACCCTATTGCTGCCCCCAGTGCAGGAAGTGTTTTGCTCAGGGGTATGACCTGGCGAGGCACCAGCTACGAGTTCACGGAACAAAGAAGAAGCGTGGAGTAGTAGAGGTCAGAGGTGAGGAGGTCAGAGGGGAGAGTCCGCCACCCTCTGACAGCGCCTGGGAACCAGAGCCCCCCTCCTCCAATGATTCACCTACAGAGACCCAGACTGGAAGAGCTCCCTCTCAGAGACTGAGGAACCTCAGGGTAAAGTCCACCAGGACCTCTAATGCTAAAACTAAGGCAAACGCACCAAAACAAAGACAAACCAGTACCAAGAAGAGGTCCCATTCAGATCCTGATTCAGATGCTCTGGACATGGAGGGTGATGCTGTAGGAGATGAGGCCCAGTACAGCTGCACTGAGTGTCAGGGAACCTACGACAATCCAGAGTCTCTCAAATCCCATCAGTGCATCCAGGTCGTGGTGGGGCCGCCGCCGTACTCTTGCTCTACATGTAGGGTTACCTTCAAACGGTACACCACCCTGAAGAAGCACAAGCTCAACAAGCACCCAAAGGAAAATATGCGTTATTGCTGCACCCGCTGTGGAAGGTTCTTCAGTCAGGCTGCCAGTCTACAGCGCCACCTGGAGGCCGAAGTATGTAAGGACATCCAGCTGAGCTCTGAAGCTGTCCCCTGCTCCTACTGCCAATTCTCCTTCACTGAGGAGAGGTACCTCCGGAAGCACGTTAAGAGACACCACCCTGATGAGTATGTCTCTCAGGCCTCAGGCCTGGGCTCAGGCCTCATTCAGCCAGAGCAGAAGGCCGTAGAGGGAGGAGAGGTCCACCTCTGCTTTCAGTGTGGGAAGAGCTACAAGTACGTTAAATGCTTCAAATCTCACAGGTGTTTCCAGTCAGTCACAGCCAAACGGTACTTGTGCAATGACTGTGGGAAAGGTTTCTCTTGTTTCTACAGCCTTAAGCAGCATCAGCGGATTCACACGGGAGAGAAGCCATACCGCTGCTCTAATTGCGAGAAGTGTTTTAGCCACTCTGGACAGCTGAATGTACACCTGAGGATACACACAGGGGAGAAGCCTTTCCTGTGTACTGAGTGTGGAGAGACCTTCCGTCAGTCTGGGGATCTGAAGCGCCATGAGAGAAAACACACAGGGGTGAAACCATGTACCTGTCCTGAATGTGGAAAAAGCTTCAGTCGACCTCAGAGTCTGAAAGCTCACCAGCTGCTGCACAACGGAGAGAAACTGTACAAGTGTGATCAGTGTGTGAAAAGGTTTTCACGAAATTATCACCTGACAAGACACCATGAAAAGATGCACTCATAATTTGGCTGCACCACACACACTGTTGACTATTGGGTTTATTTGAAAACACTTGGTTAAGTTGATATATTACCATTACATTTTACAACAAGTAAAAGCATGTGATTTTTGTTTATTATTCATAATATGCCATTTCCAATTTGGAATAGAATATACACTATATATACGAAGTATGTGGACACCCCTTCAAATGAGTGGATTCGGCTATATCAGCCACACCCGTTGCTGACAGGAATATAAAATCGAGTACACAGCCATGCAATCTCCATAGACAAACATTAGCAGTAGAATGGCCTTACTGAAGAGCTTCCTGGCTTTCAACGTGGCACCGTCATAGGATGCCACCTTTCCAGCAAGTCATCTGTCAAATTGTGCCCTACTAGAGCTGCCCCGGTCAACTGTAAGTGCTGTTATTGTGAAGTGGAAATGTCTAGGAGAAACAACCGCTCAGCCGCAAAGCGGTAGGCCACACAAGCTCACAGAACGGGAGTGCTGAAGCGCGTAGCGCGTAAAAATCGTCTGTCCTGTGTTGCAAAACTCACTACTAAGTTCCAAACTGCCTCTGGAAGCAACGTCAGCACAATAACTGTGCAGTCCTTCCCGGGGAAGGACTGCCCGTTCCATGATCTCGCCATCACGGTTGACAACTCCGCTGTGTCCTCCTCCCAGAGTGCGAAGAGCCTAGGCGTGACCCTGGACAACACCCTGTCGTTCTCCGCCAACATCAAGGCGGTGACCCGCTCCTGCAGGTTCATGCTCTACAACATTCGGAGAGTACGACCCTGCCTTACACAGGAAGCGGCACAGGTCCTAATCCAGGCACTTGTCATCTCCCGTCTGGACTACTGCAACTCGCTGTTGGCTGGCCTCCCTGCCTGTGCCATTAAACCCCTACAACTCATCCAGAATGCCGCAGCCCGTCTGGTGTTCAACCTTCCCAAGTTCTCTCACGTCACCCCCCTCCTCCGCACACTCCACTGGCTTCCAGTTGAAGCTCGCATCCGCTACAAGACCATGGTGCTTGCCTATGGAGCAGTGAGGGGAACGGCACCTCTGTACCTTCAGGCTCTGATCAGTCCCTACACCCAAACGAGGGCATTGCGTTCATCCACCTCTGGCCTGCTGGCTCCCCTTCCTCTGCGGAAGCATAGCTCCCGCTCAGCCCAGTCAAAACTGTTCGCTGCTCTGGCACCCCAATGGTGGAACAAGCTCCCTCACGACGCCAGGACAGCGGAGTCACTCACCACCTTCCGGAGACATTTGAAACCCCACCTCTTTAAGGAACACCTGGGATAGGATAAAGTGTTCCTTCTAACCCCCCCCCCCCCCCCCAAATTGTAAAGTGGTTATCCCACTGGCTATAGGGTGAACGCACCAATTTGCGAGTCGCTCTGGCTAAGAGCGTCTGCTAAATGACGTTAATGTGCCCTTGAGCAAGGCACTTAACCCTAATTGCTCCTGTAAGTCGCTCTGGATAAGAGCGTCTGCTAAATGACTAAAATGTAAAATGTAAATAACTGTTCGTCGGGAGCTTCATGAAATGGGTTTCCATGGCCGAGCAGCCGCACACAAGTCTAAGATGACCATGCGCAATGCCAAGCGTCGGCAGGAGTGGTGTAAAGCTTGCCGCCATTGGACTCTGGAGCAGTGGAAACGCTTTCTCTGGAGTGATGAATCACACTTCACCATCTGGCAGTCCGACGGACTAATCTGGGTTTGGCGTATGCCAGGAGAACGCTACCTGCCCCAATGCATAGTGGCAACTGTAAAGTTTGGTGGAGGAGGAATAATGGTCTGGGGATGTTTTTCATGGTTTGGGCTAGGCCCCTTAGTTCCAGTGAAGGGAAATCTTAACGCTACAGCATACAATGACATTCTAGATGATTCTGTGCTTCCAACTTTGTGGCAACAGTTTAGGGAAGGCCCTTTTCTATTTCAGCATGACAATGCATCTGTGCACAAAGCGAGGTCCATACAGAAATGGTTTGTCGAGATCGGTGTGGAAGAACTTGACTGGCCTGCACATATCCCTGGCCTCAATCCCATCAAACACTTTTGGGATGAATTGGAACGCCGACTGCGAGCCAGGCCTAATCGCCCAACATCAGTGCCCGACCTCACTAATGCTCGTGGCTGAATGGAAGCAAGTCCCTGCAGCAATGTTCCGACATCTAGTGGAAAGCCTTCCCAGAAGAGTAGAGGTGGTTATAGCAGCAAAAGGGGGACCAACTCCATATTAATGCCCATGATTTTGGGATGAGATGTTCGATGAGCAGGTGTCCATACTTTTGGTTATGTAGTGTATCTTTATTGTCCCTGGTAATTAAAAAGTAATTAGTAATTTTTTTAAATAAAATGACTGACTTCAGTATCACGGTTCACCATTTATTCCACAAAACATATAATGCAAAGCATGTGCCCTGTACAAGCCTAAAATCTTATGAAAATACGTAAAACATGCTCATGAGATATTTCTTAATTTCATACAATTATCTAACACTGTCTTTGTGAAATCACCCAGGTCTTGCCTCTGAAATTCAACAAATATCCATTCTAGACCTTTTATTTCCATCACTCGTATCTTTGCATTGCTTATCTTACCAGCTTTAATCCAATACCTCACATATGGCGTTTGCCATATTATAAACATAACTCAAATATTTCAATCATCTTAACTACAGTGAGGGAAAAAAGTATTTGATCCCCTGCTTATTTTGTACGTTTGCCCACTGACAAAGACATGATCAGTCTATAATTTTAATGGTAGGTTTATTTGAACAGTGAGAGGCAGAATAACAACAAAAAAATCCAGAAAAACGCATGTAATAAATGTTATGAATTGATTTGCATTTTAATGAGGGAAATAAGTATTTGACCCCTCTGCAAAACATGACTTAGTACTTGGTGGCAAAACCCTTGTTGGCAATCACAGAGGTCAGACGTTTCTTGTAGTTGGCCACCAGGTTTGCACACATCTCAGGAGGGATTTTGTCCCACTCCTCTTTGCAGATCTTCTCCAAGTCATTAAGGTTTCGAGGCTGACGTTTGGCAACTCGAACCTTCAGCTCCCTCCACAGATATTCTATGGGATTAAGGTCTGGAGACTGGCTAGGCCACTCCAGGACCTTAATGTGCTTCTTCTTGAGCCACTCCTTTGTTGCCTTTGCCGTGTGTTTTGGGTCATTGTCATGCTGGAATACCCATCCACGACCCATTTTCAATGCCCTGGCTGAGGGAAGGAGGTTCTCACCCAAGATTTGACGGTACATGGCCCTGTCCATCGTCCCTTTGATGTGGTGAAGTTGTCCTGTCCCCATAGCAGAAAAACACCCCCAAAGCATAATGTTTCCACCTCCATGTTTGACGGTGGGGATGGTGTTCTTGGGGTCATAGGCAGCATTCCTCTTCCTCCAAACACGGCGAGTTGAGTTGATGTCAAAGAGCTCCATTTTGGTCTCATCTGACCACAACACTTTCACCCAGTTCTCCTCTGAATCATTCAGATGTTCATTGGCAAACTTCAGACGGGCATGTATATGTGCTTTCTTGAGCAGGGGCACCTTGCGGGCGCTGCAGGATTTCAGTCCTTCACGGCGTAGTGTGGTTCCAATTGTTTTCTTGGTGACTATGGTCCCAGCTGCCTTGAGATCATTGACAAGATCCTCTCGTGTAGTTCTGGGCTGATTCCTCACCGTTCTCATGATCATTGCAACTCCACGAGGTGAGATCTTGCATGGAGCCCCAGGCCGAGGGAGATTGACAAGTCTTTTGTGTTTCTTCCATTTGCGAATAATCGCACCAACTGTTGTCACCTTCTCACCAAACTGCTTGGCGATGGTCTTGTAGCCCATTCCAGTCTTGTGTAGGTCTACAGTCTTGTCCCTGACATCCTTGGAGAGCTCTTTGGTCTTGTCCATGGTGGAGAGTTTGGAATCTGATTGATTGATTGCTTCTGTGGACAGGTGTCTTTTATACAGGTAACAAGCTGAGATTAGGAGCACTCACTTTAAGAGTGTGCTCCCAATCTCAGCTTGTTACCTGTATAAAAGACACCTTTGAGCCAGAAATCTTTCTGATTGAGAGGGGGTCAAATACTTATTTCCCTCATTAAAATGCAAATCAATTTATAACATTTTTGACATGCGTTTTTCTGGATTTTGTTGTTGTTATTCTGTCTCTCACTGTTCAAATAAACCTACCATTAAAATTATAGACTGATCATTTCTTTGTCAGTGGGCAAACGTACAAAATCAGCAGGGGATCAAATACTTTTTTCCCTCACTGTATACAAACACACTGGTATGGGAGTTGACACAAATAGGCTTTTTACAATAAGGTTCCCTCCAAACTGTGAAGAAGCAGGTGAATACTACCTGGCAGTGATTCCATGTGCTATAGTCAGAGGAATGGGGAGTGCACAATAGCTGCTGGTGATGTTTCATCACCATCGAAGTCCATGGTTGTGTTCATTAGGGTGCACAGCGGACAAGTCCAGTTATTGAACAAGTCCAGATAGGCCTAGTCCTTCCCTGTTTTAGGCAATTTTATTCTGTTTGGTTCTTAATGAACATGAACCAGTTTCCCAACACTTTCCATCACCAGTTCTACTGTCTGCCATTCAGTCAGTGTTGAACACATCTTTGATAACATCCACAATAAAATTAAAAACAATCAGATTTCAATCTTGTCCATGTCACTTTGTGGCACAGCAGATTTGGAAGCATTCTCTTCTGGTCCTTTTTACAATGAGTTATTTTATGTAGGTTTAGTTACTTAAATAAAAAAGGGGTTATTATTGAAGGTTTACTATGCTCTTTCTAAATCGCATCAGTAGCCATTACTGGGTAGCGGAGTTGACTGACTAACAATACACATACTGTATGGTTGTTAACTCTGAAAGGTAGGCAGCAGTTGACTGAAGTTTGAAGTGCCAAACCCCTGCAAAGGTTGGATTGCTGCTCTAATTGTAGAAGGAGATGGATAGCCTACGGTATCTCCTCTTTTCTCTTACATTCCAGTGAAGCACCAAAACTTTCAATCAATCTATATCTTCTCCAGTGTCGACATTTTACATCTTCCTCAGTCACATAAGTTATCATCTGCACCAACTCTTGGCTCCATTAGTTCATATATGTTAAATGTTATACATATATTAATCAAAAATATATACAAACCAAACTTTGTTTGATAAACCACATACAGTATTACAGCTGTAAAATGACAATCCCAAAAAATAAAACGAACAAAAAACAAGGCAAATAAAAGAAAGAAAAGGAATTTGTTTTGGCAATTGAAATCAAAAGCCTGGTTTTCTAATTCACCCAAACACACTATTTTCTATCAAATGGTCAAATACTGAACACTGGAAAAAAAATTCGGAACAGCAACGGTTAGAGCTCCACAGAAGTTCTTGCCAGTATTTTTTGAATGTTAAGAAAATGGTTGATTAAACTATCAGACAAACCAGTAGCCATTGTCAATATTACCATATGGGAAATATTCACAAAACGAACATCAAAAACAGGATTAAAAGGGTTGTTAGATAAAGAGATTATATGCAGCAATACAAAGCCTGAAGGTACATGTATGCAACCGCAAACCAAGCTAAAGTTTGAGACAAGAAATACAATAACATCCTCGTATTCAATTCTTAATGTTCTTGATGAGACTTAAGAAACAAGGCTTTTATAAAGGTTCAGATTTAAGCTCCTCAACCCTGCATTCCAGATCTGCTACCTGCAAACAAAGTAACACAGAAAGTTATGGTTATGTTTGTGTATTATGATAGACTACTAGAAACTTTACTTGTCACCAAAATACATTCAATCAAGTTTCTCATACACAAATTTGTCTGCAACTGCTTCACCAATGGTCTCCCCAATGGCTGCACACAATGAAATATATAAAATAATATACTAATACATGCCATTAACAGACACTTTTATCTAAAGCGACTGACAGTCATGTGTGCATACATTTTTGGTATTGGTGGCCCCAGTAGGAATCGAACACACAAACCTTTGCGTTGGAGCCACACATCCAGCCATCAGTCTCCACTATTACCTGTTCATGGAGCTGTCCTGACTCCTCCCTCAGTGATGCCTCGGCCCCGTCCTGAACACAGCGCTGAGTCTCCTTCTTCAGGTACTCTATCTCCCTACAGATGAGACATCACAGAGAGACACTAATCACACTCAGTGTTTCCCCTATATTCATTTAGCAGCGGTGGCCCAAATTGTTGCCACCACTGCAAAAATATATTCCTGCCAGGACACGCTTTTATATTTACATTTTAGTCATTTAGTAGACACTTATCCAGAGCGACTTACAGTTAGTGAGTGCATACATTTGTATTTTTTTTCATACTGGCCCCCCGTGGGAATCGAACCCACAACCCTGGCGTTGCAAGCGCCATGCTCTACCAACTGAGCTACACGGGGCCTTTTAAATGGATAGTCATTGGCTCCATGACTGGAAGTCTATGGGAACAGCTAGCATGTCATTGCGCTAACGCTAGTAGCAATGCAACCTCTATGTGTGTATGTGTGTGTGTGGCCCGGCCTTACTTCTGCTGGTACTCCTTGATGAGGCGCTTGGCCTTGCTGTACTTGCGCTCCAGAGCCTGGTACTGGGCCTGGGTCTCCTTCAGGTGCTCGTCCACAGCCTGACACAGACTCTGGGCCTCCATCCAGTAGCCCTCCAGCTTCTCCATGCGCTCCTTGTTCTCCTGTAGGGTTTGCTCCAGCTGGTTCTTGTCCATACGCCAGCGCTGCTTGTCCTGCTCTGCATGGTTCAGCTGGGAGTGTGGAGAAGTACACACACACAGATGTGCGTAAGTACACACACACAGGTACGTAAACGGACTGGCAGGGGACGAAACCGTAAATGCCACTGTATGTTAATTAAGTAGTGGCCGTATTGTACAATTAAACATTAGGACATAATATTTAATAATCACATAATATAACTTAACCTACCTTTCTTTTCAGCTGTTGGATCTCTGCCTGTGTTACAGCATGCTTTATTTGAAGCTGAGGAGAGAGAGAGTTAAGGAAGTTGTTGCAAAATCTGTCCAAAAAGTAGGACACTATATAAGGAAAAGGGTGACGAGCCCTTTGTCTTTAACGGTTTCTCTCACCTCCCGGTACTTATGGGCCAGCTTCTCAGGGTCCGTCTCCAGGGGAGAGATGTCCTCGTTCTCAGCCAGGTCAAACACCTCGATGGCAGAGGGGTACGTGGGGCTGACCTCCTCCTCGTCATCCTCCTCCTCGTCAGTACCATATTCACCTTCCTGGGGGAAGAGGACAGGTGAGCCCGAAGTAACTATTGGATTTGGGGTTTAATTGACCTCCAGGTCTTAATTGAGAGGGCCAAAGTGTCTGCATATTTGAATAGGTTCAATGTGCTTCCATCCATCCCATTTCACAGCATTTTTATAATTGCCTGCGACTGCTGCCACTATAACAGCATCACGGTTGGTTCTCTATTGCTACTGAGATTGGCCACTAGATGGCGTATAACACCATTGAAGAGTATCCCTAGATCGGGGAGGGAACACAGAACAAAACCTCAACCATTATGACATCATTCTGCATGTCAACATAATAAGATGGAGAACGAAGAATGTCCTGCATCCTCATAAGATTTTGATTGGATAGAGGTAAAAAAAATAATCATCCTTGTGATAGGTGATGACCTGAACCAATTTTGGTTCAACCCAGAGAGGAAGAGGCAAAAACATCAGAAACACTAGGGAGTCCTAGGGAGACAGAATGTCATTTATCCTTTTTGGCCTACGCTCTCTAAACTCACCTGTTGGAATGCATCACAAATGGCACCCTATTTCCTATATAGTGCACTACTTTTGACCAGAACCCATAGGAAGAATGGGGTGTCATTTGGGAAGCAGACTTGTGTTTATACTGTCTGGAGGCTATACTAAACAGTAACAGCGTAGCTATGGATACACGCCCATTCAGCTCACTCGATACAGCCACCGGCTTTGTGTCAATTCTGACAAAGATGTGATTGGCACACATACAGTATCTTAATCCTAAAGCTGAGGGGAAAAGAGAACACAGAGGCAAAAATTAATCTAAAAAGCGTAATATTCATTTGAAAAATTCAAATAGTGACCAGGTTTCAGTTTATCTCTAAGCTAGCTGTGTTCAGGGTCATGTTCTTTAGGGCACAGAGTAGCAAAATCTTTTGCAACATAAAGCAAACAAGTTCTGGTAGTAACTCCCTGCTGTCAGGTAGTCTGTCTGTCCATCTGTACTGTACTTCTTGGTTGTCCATGTACTGGCTGTAGACTGGTTGTAGACCTACCTATACTGGTTGTAGACTAGTTGTAGACCGGTTGTAGACTGATTGTAGACTAGTTATAGACCTACCTTTTGGTCATCTATGTACTGGTTGGTTACAGACTGGTTGGACTGGTTGTAGACCTACCTCTTGGTTGTCCATGTACTGGCTGTAGCGTTGTTCCATCAGCTCTCTCTGCCAGCGCTCCTGTTCCAGGGTCTGTTGGATCAGCTGGGCCACCTCACTCTGCTCACCCGGCTTCTCTCGACCAATCAGAAACCTGCATACAATTACACAGCTTTTGAAAATGGCTTTCTGGCGTCCCGAGTGGCGCAGTGGTCTAAGGCATTGCATCGCAGTGCTAGCTGTGCCACTAGAGATCCTGGTTCGAGTCCAGGCTCTGTCGCAACCGGCCGCGACCGGGAGACCCATGGGGCGGCGCACAATTGGCCCAGCATCGTCCAGGTTAGGGGACGGTTTGGCCGGCAGGGATGTTCTTGTCCCATCGCGCACTAGCGACTCCTGTGGCGGGCCGGGCGAAGTGCACGCTGACACGGTCGCCAGGTGTACGGTGTTTCCGACACATTGGTACGGCTGGATTCCGGGTTAACCAGGCTCAGTTCAAGAAGCAGAGCGGCTCGGTTGGGTTGGGTTTTGGAGGATGCACGGCTCTCGACCTTCGCCTCTCCCGTGTCCGTACGGGAGTTGCAGCAATGGGACAGGACTGTAACTACCAATTGGATACCACGAAATTGGGGAGAAAAAGGGACAATAAAAAAAAATATTCAAACAGGAAAATGGCTTTCTATGTGGACTGCAATAAGAGGAACCTCTATGATATGGTCCCTTAGCAAGAGGTTAAATAATCTGAATTATATAACCTCTTTCAACATTTAGATTCTCGACTCAATATGCTCAGAGAGAGATGTTTTTCAGTGTAATACCCTCTTCAGCTATGTAAGAGTAATCTGAGCAGTGCAGTTTAGAATGAGTACCCATAGTCAGTCAGTTATCAAGACAACCACAACAACCTTAGAATTCCCCCCGTTAACTATCAGGTAATTAAATGCTAACCAACACAGTTCCCATCCTCATTCACCCATCCATTCCCCTAGCTGACATTTTAATGAATAGGCCTGATTGACCGCCTGCCTGCCTCAACCCTTCCTTCCCCGTCTACCCTGTTCTATAATGCATGAGCAATCTCTGAAGAGGGCTCTGATCTTTGACAAGTCACACAACACTAACAATTACACACGCACGCACACACACACACACCACACACTAACAATTACCCCCATAGCTCTACTGACCACTAGTTCCAGAATTATGAATGAATGAGCCTGTATACGATAACAAAGGAGTGTTGGGGATTGGGGAACAGGCAGGCGACTCTGGTGGCCCATTCAGTCAACCACAAAAAGACCACTCTGGCATTTCAGAATGATAATTGTGTTGATGCCTGCTGTGAGGATGATGGTGATGTTTTTATGCTCTTCCATGGTCCAAATTTGAGTTTCAACTTTGTCTGTGGTTCTACTGTGGTTCTACTGTGGTTCTGTTGCTATATCTCTGAAGGGACATTTTCGCTCTTCATCATGTTATCATCATGGCCCTATTTGACTTCTGATGACTGACTACTCTGCATGTCCTGATCTACACAGTATGTATGTGGGAGGATGTAGTCATTTTGCCAGTCTTCTCTAGAGTCTAAAGCCGCTGCAAAACTAAGAACAAAATGTGTACAGAAAACCTTAACGGAGTCTGACGTCACGTTGTACTACAAAGAAAATAAGAGTCGAGATTAGACTTGATGGGCCCAACTTTATACAGGGCCAAGTAATTTAACCTGTCTATATTCAAGTGTTTGAGAGAGATGTCCATCAAGGCAGACTCAGTAGAATTTTTTTTTCAAAGCAGTAGCAGTTGGTGAGGAATAGAGGCCTGCTAAAAAGAAAAGTGTTAGAAGCCTCTGTGACATCAGGGTGTTGCATCAAAGTGTGTATCCCAAATAGCACCCTGTTCCTTATATTGTGCACTATATTTGACCAGAGCACTATGGACCCTAGTCAAAAGTAGGGCACTATTGTCAAAAACGTATCCTCACTTGACGGTGCCTGTGGTGTTCCTGAGGACGGAGGCAGCGAAGGTCTGGGTGACCCCCACCAGACTGGTCCCATCTACCTCCACTATCAGGTCATTCACCTGGATCCTGGATGGATAAACACAAAGCAGCACAACAACCTCAGCTCAGTACCACAGTCTGATAACATGCTTACTTTTTCATTCATTTTTAAAAATTCAACCTTTATACAGCTTTGTCTCTTTGAGATATAAATCTATTTAGCAAGCGAGACCTGCTCACGCAAGGAACCATAATGCGACCGAATTGAATCACTTTGTTATTCCAAACCTATTTGTGGAAAAGCAATAACATATCAAATCAGCAAGCTAGACAGAGATGTGAATACTACTACTAGACACACAAGTTTGGCTCATCTCACATGCTTGATTGCTTCTTAGATGTATTAAATCATGCAGAACCTATTCAGGTAAGTCTGCCAGGAGTATAGATGGAAAAGCCGTAGATGGAGGCCACCATTTTGTGACGTACCTGCCGTCCCGGTGCGCTGCTCCTCCATCGGTGACCGTCTTGACAAAGATGCCCAGTTTCTCCAGGCCCATGTCTGCCCCCGCCCCCATCCCAATGATACTGATACCCAGCCCATCGCCATCTGAGGACAGTGGACAGAGGAGAAATACAGTCTGAACTGTGAGAAGACAATAAAATCATCATAATCCATGATGAAAATGAAAAGCTCTTTTGTTTCATAATAGCTTTTTTAAATCAATGTTGTTTTCCTGTGACATTCCTTTTACCTTAGGTTAACTTCCTGCATTGTCTTTTACAAATAGGTCAATGTAAAGATGGAGTGATTGAGAATTCCCTCTTGGGAGAAGGGAGAACTGAAAGACATCATGATGGAAAAATGATGGATGCGTGCTGATTAAGTGAGGGGATTGATTGTCTGATTGTCTCAAGAGAATGGCGATACAACTCCTCTTTACAGTACTGTGAAGTAGAAGTACTGTGAAAATGAGTTTTCTTAAGTGTGCAATCTGGAATGTTCTTTGTTGTTGTTCGAATCCCAGATTGCCACATTAAGGTTATGGGGGTAACTGAGCTGAGGTGTACCTTTCTCCAGCTCGACGGGGAACAGATCGAGCCTCTCCACCCTCTTCTCCAGCTCGTACTCTGCAGACGCAGCCATGGGGTCCACGTCCTCGTTCCGACGATCATAGTCCTCGTTGGGGTAGGTGGCAAACACCTAACAGAGAAAGAGAACACAAAACAGCTTATTACAACTATTTAAAACATACTTTTTACTTAGGCTGGGTATGTGTAAAGCACTTTGTGACAACTGCTGATGTAAAAAGGGCTTTATAAAATACATTTTTGATTGATTGATTTACAAATTGAGCAGTAGTTGCAGGTTTACCGTTGAGTATGAGGCTGTTTCTATCCATGTTAGAAAAGGGCTTTAGTTCCATGGTGTTCAGATAGGGTGGATGGAGGTGGGACATAGTGAAAAAGGTGACCACAGTGTTGTCTTTAGTGCATTATACTGACACGTCATTTACCTCTAAAAAATGACAATTTCCATCACCAAATTTGCCTCAGTTAAAGCTTGTTTCAACTACCAAAATGCTATTATATTCAGGTAACAGACCTCAAATGAACCCCAGTATAAAACCCAAGCACCTCTCATAGAATAGATAGTGGCCCATTTCAGAGCAGAGCTTCCCACTTTAGCCCAGCTCCAACAGCATTCTTGCATCCCAAATAGCACCATATTCCCTACATAGTGCACTACTTTTGACCAGAGCCCTATGGATAGTGCACTATATAGGGAATAGGGTGCTATTTGGGACGTAAACCCATGACAGTATACATAAGCACCTTCAGCATGCTAATGCAGGCCTGGCCACTGCAGCTGCTATACACACACACGTGTCCTCTCTTTCACGGCCATGGCCACTCTTCTCTCTGGTCTTCCAGGGAGGCTCAGGTCACGCACCACCTCACACGTGCACCTCACATAACCACTCTCCTACTAGGCTACACAGGACCTGCTCTGTGCTTTACCCTCTCTTCTCTTTCCATCTCACTCTTCACCCTCCCATCCGTATCACTCATTCCTCTTCTTTCCCTCCCTCCCTCCTCTCTCCATCCCTAATACCCTCTTCTCTTTTCTCACTCCCCTTTTTTATCTCCCTCTTTTGCCTCTTCTCCTCACTCCCTCAGTTCCCAATATTACCTCTTATCTTTTTATTGTTTCCCTCCAATGAATATCCCTCCTCCCCTCTGTTACAACCGTCTTTATGTTGATACCTTTTGTCATTTCCTTACTCTATATCTGTTTGTGCCTGTCTAAGAGTAGTCAGTACACACACACCTCTTTGCTTGAACAGTGCCGTCTAAATCACATGGTCTTTGTCTCCGTAGCAACCACACAGTGAAGTGCTTGTCAGATTTGACATTGCCTCTATGATTCAACCAACCTTACCCTGAGAGAAGTAAATGGAGTATTATCTGTGAATTCATACATCATTGAATACTAGGAAGGTTGAGGTGAGGCACATTTCTTTGACTGGGTTAAACTGTATCTAGGTCTGTGCAGCTGGATCAAAGGTTTTCAAATAGAACACCCAGAAGAGGTCTTTCATCAAAGCAGCCATTGTACAGTACATACACTGTTGATGACACATCCCATGACAACGTAAATGCCAGCTCAGAGCTACAGTTGAAGTCGGAAGTTTACATACACCTAGGATGGAGACATTAAAATTCGTTTTTCAACCACTCCACACATTTCTTGTTAACAAACTATAGTTTTGGCAATTCGGTTAGGACATCTACTTTGTGCATGACACAAGCAATTTTTCCTACAATTGTTTACAGACAGATTATTTCACTTATAATTCACTGTATCACAATTCCAGTGGGTCAGAAGTTTACATACACTACGTTGACTGTGCCTTTAAACAGCTTGGACAATTCCAGAAAATGATGTCATGGCTTTAGACGCTTCTGATAGGCTAATTGAAATCATTTGAGTCAATTGGAGGTGTACCTGTGGATGTATTTCAAGGCCTACCTTCACACTCAGTGCCTCTTTGCTTGACATCATGTGAAAATCAAAAGAAATCAGCCAAGACCTCAGATAAAAAAAGTTGACTTCCACACATCCTTGGGAGCAATTTCCAAACGCCTGAAGGTACCACATTCATCTGTACAAACAATAGTACGCAAGTATAAACACCATGGGACCACGCAGCCGTCATACCGCTCAGGAAGGAGACGCATTCTGTCTCCTAGAGATGAACGTACTTTGGTGTGAAAAGTGCAAATCAATCCCAGAACAACACCAAAGGACCTTGTGAAGATGCTGGAGGAAACAGGTACAAAAGTATCTATATCCACAGTAAAACGAGTCCTATATCGACATAACCTGTAAGGCCGCTCAGCAAGGAAGAAGCCACTGCTCCAAAACCACCATAAAAAAGCCAGACTACGGTTTGCAACTGCACATGGGGACAAAGATCGTACTTTTTGGAGAAATGTCCTCTGGTCTGATGAAACAAAAATATAACTGTTTGGCCATAAGGACTATCGTTATGTTTGGAGGAAAAAGGGGGTTGCTTGCAAGCCGAAGAACACCATCCCAACCGTGAAGCACGAGGAAGGCAGCATCATGCTGTGGGGGTGCTTTGCTGCAGGAGGGACTGGTGCACTTCACAAAATAGATGGCATCATGAGGAAGGAAAAGTATGTGGATATATTGAAGCAACATCTCAAGACATCAGTCAGGAAGTTAAAGCTTGGTCGCAAATGGGTCTTCCAAATGGACAATGACCCCAAGCATACTTCCAAAGTTGTGGCAAGATGGTCAAGGTATTGGAGTGGCCATCACAAAGCCCTGACCTCAATCCTATAGAAAATATGTGGGCAGAACTGAAAAAGCGTGTGCGAGCAAGGAGGCCTACAAACCTGACTAAGTTACACCAGCTTTGTCAGGAGGAATGGACCAAAATTCACCCAACTTATTGTGGGAAGCTTGTGGAAGGCTACCCGAAACGTTTGACCCAAGTTAAACAATTTAAAGGCATTGCTACCAAATACTTATTGAGTGTATGTAAACTTCTGACCCACTGGGAATGTGATGAAAGAAATAAAAGCTGAAATAAATAATTCTCTCTACTATTAATCTGACATTTCACATTCTTAAAATAAAGTGGTGATCCTAACTCACCTAAAACAGGGAATTATTACTAGTATTAAATGTCAGGAATTGTGAAAAACTGAGTTTAAATGTATTTGGCTAAGGTGTATGTAAACTTCCGACTTCAACTGTATACATTCATGCACACACACACACGTTCTGACACTAGCTAAACCAGTAAACCTCTGACTGGTGTCGACCAATTGCGTGGGTTGGGCATATTGTCTAAATGGGTTGTGTGATTTAGGTTACCTTTGTATTTAGACGGATTAGGAAAATATGGATTATACGCAGACAAAAAATATGTTTCGCCTTCGTGTGAATGGATGTAGCCTGGCATTAGCACATGGCTATTCAAATCTTACCCTATGAGGTCCGGACTACTGCTGGTATTCTGTTCTACCTGATAATTAATTGCACCCACCTGGTGTCCCAGGTCTAAATCAGTCCCTGATTAGAGAATGCAAAAAAAGCAGTGGAACTGGTTTCGAGGTCCAGATTTTAATTTGAGGGCTAGTAGCACATCAACAGTTAAAACAACTGAAAGTGGTCCTCCAAAGCTCTCTTACTCTCTCACTGTGTGCATCCGAAATCACACCCTATTCCCTATATAGGGCACAACTTCTGACCAGAGCCCTATTCTTGTCTATGTATTGTATCTGTGTCTGAAGCACCGCCATAGTGCTAATAAAATTGCCCTAAGGGGACAAATCAAGTTATCTGAATTGATTTGACAAGTAGTGCACTACATAGCGAGTAGGGTGCAATTTGGGATTTAGCCACTGTCTCACATGGCAGTTCGCTCCTTGAGTTTAATGGCCACAGCTGGTGGCCCTTCCTGACCCCATTTCATGGCCTCGTGACCAGAGACCAACTAAAGTTCAGGCAGTATAGAGTGTTAAAACATGTCAAAGGAAACAAGTCCCTTACATCCGGATGTGTCTGTACTCTGTACCACCTGCCTGTGTTGGGCTGGGCTGCATCATCCGCCTGCAGATTCAGCTCTGCACACTGACTGACAAGGCAAAGACACACGCACACACTGACATGGCACACACACACACAGGCACAAGGCCAACACTTTCTCCTTCCAAAGTCAAGAGATTTACTTCTTCCTTATATGAGAGTATCCCACTAAGGGCCAGACAGACACTGATCATCTTACATGATGCTCTCATATCCTCCCTGCCTCCCTGCCTCCCTTCTGTACTGTATGCACACACACAGTAGATGAACACTGGCTGAGCTTGGCGGGGCAGATAAGGTGGCATTGTGGCAGTCAATGAGAGAGATGAGTCTGCCTGCCAGCCTTTCCCCCTTTCATAAGACAAACATTGGGATTAAGGTGGGGGGCTGGGGCAGGGGAGGGGGAGGGGGAGGATACATGCTGCTGCTCCAGTTGTGACAGATAGTAGGTCACAGTGGCTAACAGATGGCCAGGAACACCCCTCCCTCCAGCCCTCTCTGCCACCAACCAACTGACTGGGACACCCTACAAAAGCTGTGTGCAGCTAGTAGCTAAACTAAGCTAATGCCTTCTGTTTGTGTCAGAACAGGGAAACCAAACAGGGAAACCACTTGGAATGTATCACATATTAAAATGCCCCAGCAAGTGACAACCACATTTTTGTACAATGTAGTTTGCCTACCCTGAGTGAATGACAAAAACACACAAATGACTAGGTTGGTATTACGGCGGTATATAGAGGTATGCACTCATGCTGTTTTTTTTCTCCAACAATTACCACAATGGTTCCTAGGCTGCACCCTATTCCCTATGGCCCTGGTCAAACGTAGTGATGGGGAAACTAAGCTTCCTGAAGCATTGAGCATTTCCTGCCAATTGTATCGAAACTAGGTTAATTACTTGAGGATTTGATCAACACAGTGTACATTGCCTAAATTCAACATACCTGGTCTTCCAGGCCAGTTAAATCCAAAACATGAAGTTTCTGCAGCACTCCAGGACCAGGGTTGCCTACCCCTGTACTACAGAATAGGGTGACACTTGGTACACAGCCCTTGGCTGGGAGGGATGTGGTTGG